AAGGGAATGGCTACTCATTCAAGTATTCTTGCCTAGAGAATTCCATGGACAGAGGAGCCTGGCAGGCTGCAGTCAATGGGGGTCAAAAAAAATATGATAAGCATTCAATAAGCATTAAATTATTTTATAGGTATGATAATTAAATTCATAATCTTTATTCTGTGTTAATAGTATTTAAAAATCAGAATAAAGTCTCAAAAATATTTCTTTTTTTTTTTCAATCAAAGGTTTTTATTTCAGCTGCCTCAGGACTTTGGGTTTCTGCTTTCTGGTTCTGAACACAGCCTAGATTTTCAGACCACTGGGAAAGGGCAATCCAGATTCCTTTATTTCCAACTCTTTGCGACCCCATGGACTGTAGCCCACCAGGCTTCTCTGTCCATGGGATTTCCCAAGCAAGAATCAAAAATATTTCTTAATATCATCATGTCTAGACAGTGAATATCTCAATGTATTTAGTTTACTAAAAAAAAAATTGTATTCTCGACAGCAGTTATTTCAATTTTAAGTCCCTCAGTAGGACTTGAATTAATTGGATCTAAACTCTGTGAAAGTTTTCTGTTTGAATAGTTATTTTTATACTCAGTGTACATTCAGTCAGTTCAGTTGCTCAGTCGTGTCCGACTCTTTGCGACCCCATGAATCGCAGCACGCTAGGCCTCCCTATCCATCACCAACTCCCGGAGTTTACTCAAACCCATGTCCATTGAGTCGGAGATGCCATCCAACCATCTCATCCTCTGCCGTCCCCTTCTCCTCCTGCCCCTAATCTGTCCCAGCATCAGGGTCTTTTCCAATGAGTCAACTCTTCGCATCAGGTGGCCAAAGTACTGGAGTTTCAGCTTCAGCATCAGTCCTTCCAATGAACACCCAGGACTGATCTCCCTTAGAATGGACTGGTTGGATCTCCTTGCAGTCCAAGGGACTCTGAAGAGTCTTCTCCAACAGCACAGTTCAAAAGCATCAATTTTTCTGCACTCAGCTTTCTTCACAGTCCAACTCTCACATCCATACATGACCACTGGAAAAACCATAGCCTTGACTAGACAGACCTTTGTTGGCAAAGTAATGTCTCTGCTTTTTAATATGCTGTCTAGGTTGGTCATAACTTTCCTTCCAAGGAATGAGTGTCTTTTAAAAATTTCGTGGCTGCAGTCACCATCTGCAGTGGTTTTGGAGCCCTAAAAAATAAAGTCTGACACTGTTTCCACAGTCTCCCCATCTATTTGCCATGAAGTGATGGGACCAGATGCCATGATCTTAGTTTTCTGAATGTTAAGCTTTAAGCCAACTTTTTCACTCTCCTCTTTCTCTTTCATCAAGAGGTTCTTTAGTTCCTCTTCACTTTCTGCCATAAGGGTGGTGTCATCTGCATATCTGAGGTTATTGATATTTCTCCCAGCAATCTTGATTCCAGCTGTGCTTCTTCCAGCCCAGCATTTCTCATGATGTACTCTGCATATAAGTTAAATAAGCAGGGTGACAAAATGCAGCCTTGACGTACTCCTTTTCCTATTTGGAACCAGTCTGTTGTTCCATGTCCAGTTCTAACTGTTGCTTCCTGACCTGCATATAGGTTTCTCAAGAGGCAGGTCAGGTGGTCTGGTAGTCCCATCTCTTTCAGAATTTTATTGTGATCCACACAGTTGAAGACTTTGACATAGTCATTGGAGCAGAAATAGATGTTTTTCTGGAACTGTCTTGCTTTTTCGATGATCCAGCAAATGTTGGCAATTTGATGTTTGCTTCCTCTGCCTTTTCTAAACCAGCTTGAACATCTGGAATTTCATGGTTCACATACTGCTGAAGCCTGGCTTGGAGAATTTTGAGCATTACTTTACTCGCGTGTGAGATGAGTGCAATTGTGCGGTAGTTTGAGCATTCTTTCAGATTGCCTTTCTTAGGGGTTGGAATGAGAATGGACCTTTTCCAGTCCTGTGGCCACTGCTGAGTTTTCCAAATTTGCTGGCATATTAAGTGCAGCACTTTCACAGCATCATCTTTCAGGATTTGAAATAGCTCAACTGGAATTTCATCACCTCCACTAGCTTTGTTCGTAGTGATGCTTCCTAAGGCCCACTTGACTTCACATTCCAGGATGTCTGGCTCTAGGTGAGTGATCACACCATTGTGATTATCTGGATCGTGAAGATCTTTTTGTACAGTTCTTCTGTGTATTCTTGCCACCTCTTCTGAATATCTTCTGCTTCTGTTAGGTCCATACCATTTCTGTCTTTTATCGAACCCATCTCTGCATGAAATGTTACCTTGGTATCTCTAGTTTTCTTGAAGAGATCTCTGGTCTTTCCCATTCTGTTGTTTTCCTCTATTTCTTTGCATTGATTGCTGAGGAAGGCTTTCTTATCTGTCCTTGCTATTCTTTGGAACTCTGCATTCAACTGGGAATATCTTTCCTTTTCTCCTTTGCTTTTGGCTTCTCTTCTTTTCACAGGTGTTTGTAAGCCCTCCTCAGACAACCATTTTGCCTTTTTTGCATTTCTCTTCCATGGGGATGGTGTTGATCCCTGTCTCCTGTACAGTGTCATGAACCTCCACGTATAGTTCATCAGGCTCTTTGTCTATCAGATCTAGTCCCTTAAATCTATTTCTCACTTCCACTATATAGTCATAAGGGATTTGATTTATGTCATACCTGAATGGTCTACTGGTTTTCCCTACCTTCTTCAGTTTAAGTCTGAATTTGGCAATAAGGAGTTTGTGATCTGAGCCACAGTCAGCTCCCGGTGTTGTTTTTGCTGACTGTATACAGCTTCTCCATCTTTGGCTGCAAAGAATATAATCAATCTTATTTCGGTGTTGACCATCTGGTGATGTCCATGTGTAGAGTCTTCTCTTGTGTTGTTGGAAGAGGGTGTTTGCCTAGAAGTCAGTCAATAAATGACAGTTAAGTTAATTTTAGAAGTCATCAGGATAATCACCTCTTAGGAACATAAAATCTTAGAACTGAGTGGGATCTTTAATGAACTAGTAATTGGAGTTCAGAAAAGTTGACATATTGGTTTTTTTCATCAAATCTAGACTGACCTTTTGTTCTTTACTACATGCAAGATGGTGAATTTAAAACAGTAATATTGAAATAGAACTTGTTAGTCATCTGGAAATGTAAGACCTTTTAAATTTTTTAAAGATAGTATAGAAAAGTACATTTAGAAGCTTTATACTGAGCCCAGGTAAATTTTGATTACATAATGAGATGACTGATACTTAACAGATTTTTGTCTTCAAGAATCAAATTATTTATAGATACTTAGATTTTTAATCTTAGTTTGCATAGTTACAGGTAGTAAGAATAATTTATTAGGTACTGACAGTGTCCTGAGAATTGCACCGGGTCCTTTGCATACATTATTTTGTTTAATCTTTTTAATAGCCTTGTGAGGGAGATGCAGTATAATTGTCAATTTGCAGAAGAGAAAAACTAAATCTCAGAGTAGTTAACTAAGTATAAAGCTGAATTCAAACCCAGACCATTTGACTACAGAACACTGTCTTCAACTGTTTTATACAGTTTTACTGACAAAACTTTCTCAATTTTTATTTTACAAATTAATGAAGAAGTAATACATTTTCTTGTTTACCTTAACTACAGCATTGTCCAGAGTTAAGTAACTTAACCAAAAATTTCAAGGTAATTTTAAAATTCATACTGGCTTTAGTTTACAGGCAATCTGCTCTTTAAAGATAATACTTTTTTTTTTTTTTAGAAAGGTTTTGGTTTTTTTGGCTGCACCACGTGGCATACAGGATCTCAGTTCCCCAACCAGGGATCGAACCCCAGGCCTGGCGGTGATAGCACTCAGTCCCGACCACTGGACTGCCAGGGAATTTTCTTCCCTTTTTTTTTTTTAAACCCCCTTGCTTGTGGCAACCACTAGTCTGTTCTCCGTATCTGTGAGCTTGCGTTTGTTAAAGATTCCACATATGAGAGAGGTCATACAGCATTTGTCTTGCTCTAGCTATATTTTTATGTCTTCTTTAGTGAAGTGTCCATTCAAATATTTTGCCTACTGTTGGTTGGATTGTTGTCTTATAATTGAGCCAAGGCATTTCTTTACAGAGTTTGAATACAGAAAAAGTTTTTTCCAGGTATATGTTCTGCAAATATATTCTCCTAATTTGTAATGAGCACATTTCATCACTTTAAAATTGTAGACTTTTATGTTTTATATTTCATGCTTTTTGTGTCCTGTTTAAGATAATCTCTGCTAAACCCAAAGTCAAAAAGATTTTCTCTACTGCTTTTTTCTAGAAGTTTTATAGTTTTATAGTCTATGATACATTTCAGGTTAATCTTTGATATAAGGTAAGGGTCAAAGTTTATTGTTTTACATTCAGTGATTTAGCAATATCCCCAGGGAGTAGGGGATGTTGGAGGTATATGTGGGGGCAAAATCGCCACCTGTTGAAAAGTACTGTACTAGACCTAATCTTTTTGGAATACATATTTCTTCCTTTTCAAAGCTTGTCATTCCAATGTTAAGTGGTATAATTGCATGTTATGGTAAGAGTTGTATGTGTATAATCTCCATCTGGACCAAAATATCTTTTAAAATTATCTAATGCTATCATATGGCACATCTCATAAAATTAAACATTTTCATTTAGAGTAAATCTTTGTAAAATGAAAATTTTAGAAGTGCCTGAAAGCATGTAACAACAGTATCTGTCACATACCAACAATCTTAATAAACCAGTACATGAGTGTAATTAAGGGGTAGGGTGAGTAAACTACATAACACTAATCTTTGCTCTGCCTTGAATTTACTCTGGTACCTTTGCAAATCATTTAACAAATTTATTTTCTTAATCTTATAGGGTATAAATGACTTAACCTAAGTTGTATGGGATAATACAGAGAGATGAGGAATTTATTTAAGACAAACATTTTATACAAATATTATGTATTTTATTTGATCAGACATTTAAACTCTTTCAGCTATTAAACAACAGAATAAAATGGAATTGAATATGATATCAGCATGGAACAATCTGTTGATTCATTAAAAGTCAACCATAATGATTCTGAAGAGTCAAAAACAGATTCTCAGGTATTTTGAAGTAGGGATTCAACTGGGAACTTTTTTTCCATTCAAAGGAAAAAACAATATGCCATTTGATAATTTTTTATGCTTAAGAATAGTGTTATATTTAATATATTCAAGAATTTTAACATTTAATTTTCCATAATCCTGTCATTTATTTAATTTTATAATGTAGAACTTAATAAAATGATATATTCATGAAGATTTATATATAAAGAAAAATCTGCATGTTGAATTATGTTTCATCATTTCACGTTGTATTCCTATGAACAGTTTGCAGTAAAATAATAATAAAATTCAGGTTTCACTTAAGTACTTCTGTCTATATCAGTCTGAATTGATAACACTTACAAAATGTAAAGTGAATAATGAACTGAAAAGTGAATGTTTCCATTTTTTTAATCATAAACATTCTATGTTGTAAAAAATTGTGACATATTTTACGAACACTCAAGTGACTTTTTTGTTCTTTGCAAAAGCCTCTAAACTATATGGACCCCAGTGAGCCTTCTTTTGGACAAGATGGTTCGCCTGGAGTTTTACCTGTTACTACTCCTGAAGAGGACAGTTCACTGTCATCTCAGAATATACCAGGGCCCCTGACTCAGACACAGACCCTCTCTGCAGAGCAATTCCATTTAGTGGACCAAAATGGGCAACCTATTCAATATGAGCTTCAGTCATTGGGGGATTCTAACACACAAATGGTGAGTAGGTTTTTAAAATAACCAATTTTCTGCTCTTTGGCAAAATGTATTAGTCTTACTTGATGACCTTAATTTCTTGACACTATTGATTTACATTCCTTTGAAAACTATTTATATGATATTCATTTTTAAGTTATGTAAGGGTTTTAAAAGATTTCCTGGGAATTCCCTGCTGGCTCAGTGGTTAACACTCCTTGCTTTCATTGCCGCAGGCTCAGGTTTGATTCCTGGTTGGGGACTAATGCATACTGTGTTGTGCAATCAGAAATGAAATGAAATAGATTATTTCCTTTCAGAACTACAAGTAGTACTTCAAACCAGTGTAGCCCAGCTTCCACCTTGTCTAGGCAAACTTGTGCTTTGAGAGCAGTTGGAAATGTAATGTAATTGGTCACTAGTGCTAAACTGCCAGAGCTTATATATAGCTTAGATTTATTTTTTGTTTATACATTTAACCGAACTCAAGGTTATTTGCTCTATCAGTATCTTATTTACTGATTTACATGCTACATTCTGGTGTGCTTTCTTGAAGAAAAAGAAAGCAATGAAAGTACCAATGAAATGGTGGAATTTAGACATACCCTTACTGATTTTGTAGGTCAATATGTAGATGTCATGTGAATAACAATGTATAAAGTTGAAAATGGTGGTTTAAACTGTTAGCCAGAAGTATTTATGACCAAGTTCATAAGTTGAGTAGTAGAGGTGAAAGATGGTTTTGATTGAAATAAAATTGAGAAAAACTTCTAAATGGCTCTCTGATTAATAATATACTTATATTAGCAATAACATGAAGAATAATATGTCTGTTTTGGTTGTTTTTGCCAATTTTCCTACAATGAATTTTAATTCAGTAATAAAAATTACTTTTAAAATCTTAACTTCAAATATCAGTTATGCTTAAGTAGGCAACCATTTATAATAACCCCAAATTAATCTTTGTTTTTGTTTCTAGTCTAGAGCATTCTAGAGTTAATCTATGTCCTTTGGCTCCCTTTTAATCGAGCTAAATTTTGGGGTTGAGAGTTATTGATTGAGAGGGTGCTAGTTTTTTTTTTAGAGGGGTCTAATTATAGACAACTTTTTTGTGTTATGTTCAAGCTCAGCATTTTTTGGGCTTACTTCAGTAATGAAATGCAAAGTAAGGGTAAGCGTCTGTAACCATACTGTATCACCAGCAGAGATTAATAAACAACAAATAATTTAGATGTGAACTGATCCATTTTAATATTTCATGTTCAGAATGAAATACTTCTGTAATTTCCCCTGATATTTGACATTTATTCTAGTTTCTGTCAGAACATTTAGAAAGTTTGTATATTCTAATGGAAGGATACAAGAGTCTGAATGTATAAAGGGTGCTCATTTTACACATGGTAACTTTCCTAAAAAGCATGTTAAAATTATTTATCTGGGTCTGAAAAAAGTAGAGGTTTCATTCTCTCTGTAATTATATTAAATTTTGTATCTGCAGTAATTATAAAGGTTATTTTTACATTGTTTGGGGTAGGAGGTGATATAGAGAGTTATTTGAAGTTGTGAAATAAGGAAATATGTCATGAACTTGGAAATAAATAGAAGCAACAAATGGAATGTAACTAGTTACTTTCTCCAAAGAACCAAAGATCAGAACCTGGTGATATTCTGGGAAGCTTAGTGGAGATTTTTTATTTTTACTGTTTATTTTAATAGACTTTTAATTTTAAGATCAGTTTTAGGTTCACAGTAAAATTGAGCAGAAAATACAGATTCCCCTCCCATATGCCCCCTGCCTTCATATTTGCATAGATAGTGTTCCCCATTATCAGAATCTCCCAACAAGTGGAGTTTTTTGTAAGAAATGACTTTTTTTTTAAGCAATCAGTGAACTAGCAAAGTTTCTGTAGTGGGTGAATCTCCTGTGGATGAGAGGAGGTTTTAGAGTGAATCAGGGATAATGTTTTTTATTTACTAGAAATATTGTGCACAAAGAGCCCAGTAAATATAACACTACTCATTAGCCAAGATTTTCTGATAATTTTCATGGTTGGCCTCAGATAGAATATATTACAGCAGATGACTCTTCAAAACTATGTTTGTTTTCATAGCAAAGATTAAAGATAATTACTTTTTTGGTAATAGAAGCAGTAATGTTATCATCACCATTGACAAATTATATGAATTGAAAATAGTTTTTAAGGTACCAGGTGGAATAAGCTAAGAAAACAGAAAATAGAGGAGATTCTTTTTCACTGTTGAGAAACATTTTCAAAATTAAGAGGTTATTCCATAAATTATTCTTAATTATGAAATTTCCATATGGTTGAATAAATTATAACTATTTAATATATATATTTATTTGGATTTAAAAATAACCACAGCACTCTTATCTTGTAAGAATGAATAATTATTTTTCATATATATCTAATCTCATTTATATGGAGTAAAGAATTTAAAAGGATACTATTATTATCGCCTTTTAAAGTCCAGGGTTTTTGTATTGTTTTATTTTTGTCTTTTTTTTAGGTTAAGTAACATCATCAGGTATTTGGGAGGCAATAACAGTACACTTGGGATTACGGGTAGAAGACTAAGGCAGTACAAAGTAGTGGCTAAAAGGAGTAGGACTGCTTGGGTTTGAATTTCAGCTCAGAATTGTATATACAGCTCTCTGTTACCTTGCATGAGTTTTGTAGCCTCTGTGTGACAATTTCCTCATGTATAAAATGTACATAGTTCATGAAGATTAAGGTACTATGTGGAAAGTCCTGCCACTAGTATGAACTCAGCGAATGAAAAGCAGTTGTCATCATCAGGGTTTACAATTGTTTTTTCATGCTGAGGTGATAAGAGGTATGGCAAGATATGTTTAGCTCAACAAACATGATAAACACTGGGGGAAGGAAACAATTCCTAATCTGAATTTCTGGGAAATGTTTATGATTGTACTTAAGGCATTCTGTTTTGTTGAGGTTTAGGTTTGTTGTTGTTTTTTCCCCCCCAAATTTAAAGTTTTTCAAATGACCCTCTTGCGTAAGAATACTGTCTCTGTCAGGCCATTAGTAACGTTTCCATGTTTTACAACCCGAAAGGGAGGCTTGAGAAAGTAGCTTGGAATGTTTAAGGAGAGTTTCCTGCGTTAGGGAAAACTGAGGACAGGGGGTATTGGGTAAAGGAGTGAAGCTGTTAGTAGACAGTAGTTTTTTAGGTAATAAAGTTTATAAGGTGTCTAGAAGTCTGGAAATAAAGGATAAACTTACTTTTAAATAATATTTTAGTTGTATTTTAAATCATAGGCTCAGAATGTTTTTATTCAGCTTACATGCTTTCTCAGTTTACATTCCTCTCAATCTGAGGCAATGAATTCATTTGCTAAACTGAGAAAAAAACCAAAAGAAATAATAAATATACCATTTCCGTATGTTTTCAGACTTTGGGGGCACTCTGTGGTATTCCTTATGGATCAAGACAGCATATAAAAAATGTGGAGATATAAAAATCCTGTTTAATTAGATATTTTACAAGTTACTGTTTTTAAATGAAAATGACTTAAACTATGAGACTAGTAATTATCACACAAATAGGTCAAAGGTGTGGATAATACAGTAAGTAGAAAAAAGTAAATTATCTTTACTCCAGTCAGAGACTTGTTCAGGTTACTAAGTAATTATACTTCATACCCATGCAGTGATTAAGATCATAGAACATAGGGTCAGACTACCCATTTTGAATCCTAGCTTTACCGCTTATCGACTGAGAGACTTTGGGGAGAAATAAAATGTTATGTACCTCGTGTTTTCATCTATAAAGTGAGGGAAATGATAGTATCCATTGTTGAGGTAGGCATGTCTAACAGTTTTCTAAGTAGTGATTCTGTTGAATCATTATAGACTTATGCACTTGATTTTTTTAAAATGCTTCCAAGATGATTGTTGCCAGCCCATCAGAAAATGGACAGGTGCTGCGTGTAATTCCATCTCCCCAGACAGGAATGACACAAGTGATTATACCTCAGGGACCACTTGTGGATGAGAATAGTCCTCAAGGTGAGTAATTATGGGATATAGGGGATTTAAGAATGTTTTAAAGAACAAATGTATGTTTCAGAAAATCACCCCATGAAAGTCAGTGCTAAAGTGGATTTCTTTGGGTAAGATTGTGAACTGAATGCTTAGAAAAAGTTTCTTAGCCCAAATAAATTCCAAGTTCATTTTTCAACTCCTGTCTAGGTTAGCTGTCTATTTCAGTTTGGAGTTCTGTGAAGCTGCTTGATTCTTGCTTCCTCCCAAATGACCAGTGAGCATAAAATAAATTCTTCTTAACTTTAATAACAGCGATAATAACAAGAACATAGTGCTAATAACTACTGGAGACCTTTTTATATTTGTATTTTTATCAATATTGTTGTTAGGCATGTGACATTCATTTGTAAAATATTCTTCTCATCTCCTCTTTGCTCTTCTTTACTTTATTCCTTCAGATTCAGAAAGACTCATGCTCCTTATTTATTTTATTCTTTGTTCACCTATTTGATAATATCCCTATTAGTTCTCTTCCTTTTGCTTCCTTTCCTTTTCCATCTATTTGAATCTCTTTTCTAACATCATAGCTACACTGTTGTGGTTTTTTCATAGATAACGATTTAGGGTAGATATTCTTAATTTAGTGTTAATGATTCTGTGTCTTTGATAACAGTTGTTAAAACTTAAGAGGAAAAAACATAGTTTGCAGAAAACATAAACATGATACAGAAACAAAAAGGAGTTAGTTTTACAGGTTCCTTTTACACTGTGGTTCTTTTAATATAAGTTACTTTTGCCATTTTTATATCCTAGCTGTTCAGTATAAGTTCTGAAACTTAATTATAAAACTTCAATAATCAGTTTTACAGTTTAAAAGCAAGTTTATCAGAGAGATTCTCAGTAAAGTAGTATAAGTTTTATTATCTTTAGCTTCAGAGCATATCTTCTCTTTCCTGTTTCAAATATATTAGTTTCAGTTAGTTACATTCTCATTATCTTTTAAGGTATTAATGTTGCTCTGCTCTTATTCTTGTTAAGATGTCTCTGAAGAGAAACCCAGTGACAGAGACTTACCAGCTGTGAGAGTGGATGCTCTAGCAGACAGTAACAGTAGTTACATTCTTCATCCACAGGCATCCCTCACATTGCCCAAAAAGACAGTGACCAGGTAAGTCAGTGAGAAAGAGGAGCTCATCTTTGTGTATCACCATGGAAATCACTGTTTACGATATCACATTTAAGGCTGCCCTCCTATAGAGAAGATCAGAAATGCAAGAAATAGAACAAGGCATCATCAAGGACACCCTTAAATCATTTTGATAGCATCTTGGCAACAAGGAAACTACTTTAGAAGCCATAAAAGATCAAAGTGCTACTTTACCTTAGTGATACTTTCTTGTTATCTTTGAAGAAATCTGAAAACATCTGGCATTAATAGAGTTTTTAAAATAAAGGAATAACTATTCTAGGTCCTGTAATTTTTAATGGTTCATCACATTTTATGCATCACATTTTATCACCTCTTTGGTAAAGTGTTTAAAATGTTTTTTGTTCATATCTTTTAGCTTATATTTTTGCCATAAAATAATACTCTTTATAATAATTTAGGGAAATACAGACATGGGTTTTGTATTTATATTTTAATTGTTCTATGAAAATATTTTAAAGTTAACACAAGTTAAGTGACATTTAATCTTAAACATCATATTGTGTTACTATTAATAAGTCACCTGAAGATGGTTTATTAACTCATTTTTCTAAATGAAAAATGTATAAGAATACAAAATAAGCTCTGAGAAAGACATATAAAGCAGCTGAATTTGTTGAAACTACAGGTGTTTGGAAAAACAAACTTAGACTTTACTTTAGCAATTGATAAAATAGTGATGATTGGAAAAAAGCATAGTTACAGCCATCAGAATAATCTGTCATCATTATAGTTTCTCCTTGATCACTTCAGTATTGTCTTTGACTGGCAAGAAGAAAAAGCAACTGAATGCTCTGTGTGTGTGTGTACCTGGTAATATATATTAATATATATTCTCACCTATCCCAGGATACTTGAAGAACCTCTTTTGGCTCCACTCCAGCCACTTTCTTCTAACACACCTATATGGGCCTGCCGTCTTAGGAGCTGTGAGGTGAGTTAAAAAGTAATCCTTATGTAGATTGACTTAGTTGATTATAACTATAATTCATTGTCTACTTTTGAGTGTAACTAATAGAGGCTGTGTCTGTAATATTTTATGTTTGTGCTCCTCATCTATTACTTTATTCCTTAGGGATTCTAAGATCTGTTAAAGCAGAAATCATATAAATCCCTCATTCTTCACTTTCCTTTCTTCTCTTACAATCTTTTCCTTGTCTTCCATGAAACTTCATGTTTCTTTATGTTTAATCTTTTAATCATTCCTTCTCTGTCTTTGCTTGCACTGATTTGCTTTCATATCCTCAGTGGAAATTCTTCAAGGTTCACTGTTTGACCTTATCTCGTTTCTCTACTTCTTTTCCCTCGAAGAGCTTCCCAACTTTGTTGACTTTCAATTCTCACTTTTATAAAAATGATCCCAGTTCTCTGTCACCAGTTCTTTAATTCTTGCCTTGCTTTTGTGGCAGATCTCCAGTTACTTACTTGAAGCTTTACTTGGACTTTACCTCAAATTCACCATATCCTAAACAGAAATTATCTAACGTACCACAACTAGCTCTTCTTCCTAAATTTCTTGTCTGTATAATGACAAATACTATTTTCTTAGATATAAAGTTTTTGATTATTTGTTCCCATATTTAGATAATCACCTGATATTTTTAGTTTTTCCTTTAAGGTGGTTTAAAAAGAGCCTCTTCCACAGCCTTTTATAATCTTGAACTCAGTTATAGCAACAGCCTTCCCATTAATCTCTGACTCTTCCATTTCTAGCCCTTACTGTGTGGTTTTCTAAAACTACCAGTTTTTGGTTTTTTTTTTAATGTGGGCCATTTTTAAAGCCTTCATTGAATTTGTTACAATGTGGCTTCTGTTTTGTATGTTTTGGCTTTTTGGCCATGAGTCATGTGGGGTCTTAGTTCCCTGACCAGGAAATTGAATCCACACCCTCTGCATTAGAAGGCAAAATCTTAACCACTGTACCCTAGAGAAGTCCCTAAAACTACTTATCTTTACATATTACTTTCATTGTCTTTTCTCACTGCCTAGTAAACTCAATGTTATTTTTTCCACATCATTTAGCCACTTGTTACTAGCTTTCAAGATCATTCATAATCTGATATCACTTAATCTTGTCCTATTTTATTTCTTCCTTTTCTGCAATTTATCTTTCATTTGTATTAGCCCAGTCTTCTTACTTTATACTAGCACTTTAGAATCTTCCTTTATGCCCCCCTTCAATTGTTTTTTTTTCCTTCAATTGTTTTTATATCCATTTCCTAATGTTGTTTTTTTCTTCTACTTGCCTTTCTAACTACTGTTCTTCAAATCCCCGTGCAAGTCCTATATGTCTTTTCTGAAATAATCTAATAATTATTTTTTGCCAATTTCTCTCTTAAAAGTCTTTGAAAATTATTACCATAACCATTCTTAATTAATTTGCTAGCTTGGGTTATTCATTATTACATAACATTTAGACTATATGCTTTCTAAGGGAAGGGATCATGGTTTTCTACATATAAGCCGTACATGATAATTAGTATTTAATTATTGAGATGCTTCATTGTGTTAAACATTCTTACAATACGAGAAGGAAAAGCATTACTTCGGTTTTAACATTTTGAGGAAATTTCTTACCATGAAGTCAGTGATGTATCATGTTTGTTAGGACATTGTCACTGTTTCTGCTTTTCTAAGCTACATACTTGTCTGTATGTATAGATAGTAAGGTTTTTTTCCCCTCACCTCTTTGTTAGTCACGGTTTTTCAATGATTTCTCCCTAAAGTTACTATTCTTGTTGTTTGATGAAGGGTTTTGTTGTTGTTGTTGTTATTGTTAAAAAAAAAAAACAATTTGTCAACCATGAAGTTTATATATGTTTGGCTGTGCTGGGTCTTCACTGATTTTTGTGCAGGTTTTTCCTAGTTGCAGCAAGTGGGGGCTGCTCCTCATTGCTGTGTGTGGGCTTCTCCTTGCACTGGCTCCACTTGTGGAGCACAGGCTCTCGGCACCCGGGGCTTCAGTGGTTGTGGCTCTTGGGATCTAGAGCGAGTGCTCAGTAGTTGGGGTGCACAGGCTCAATTGTTCCTTGGCACAGGAAATCTTCTCAGACTAGGAATTGAACCCATGTCCCCTGCATTGGCAGGCGGATTCTCATCCACTGTGCCACCAAAGAAGTCCTGATGAAGGTTTTTAAAATCATTTTCATAAACTTTATTAAATGCTATGGGCATTAAAGCATTGGCAGTTAAGTGGCCAAATTACTTGATTTTATACCATGTACATTGTGTAACTTATCTAGCATCATATATCTTGCAAGAAATTAGCTGAAACTGTTCAACAGCCTGAATTAGCTCAGTGAAGGATTCTTTTTTTTTCTCCAAGCTATATCAATAGTGAAAAACATTTTTGGTTAATGACTGAAGAAATATTTTATGCATTTTGCTTCAAAATATTGTTCCCTAGTCCTTTTTACTTTTTAAACTTCTTTTTAATGATGTTTTTCTTATAGGCATTTTTTAGATTTGACCAAAATTTATTAGTTGGAAAAATTTCAATACTGAATTAAACTTTTATCTCCTGATATGGGTTTGACTACATTGTAGTTCTGAATTTTTTCCTTTCACTGACAACATTCTATACTCTATTTTAAAAAATGTTAATAGCTAGACTTTATGTCCCTACTTTTTTATTTGTAGGGTATATTTTGATAAAGAACTATCTAGGCTAGAAGAAAATTCATAAGCACAGGCATTTTCATTATTTTTAAGGGAAATTATAGATAATGTATTGTTTGGCATTAGATTGTCTGTTTTTATTACGACTCAGAGTATTCCTACAACAGTATGTTCATACCTTACTTTTGTTAACTATATTCTTGCCAGGTGAAATATTTAGTCTAATTAGGATCAACAAGATCCCTGTTCCACATTTCTGCTCTTATTCCCTATAAGGGAGAAACATGAAAGTGAAAGTGAAGTCGCTCAGTCCTATCCGACTCTTTGCGACCCCATGGACTGTAGCTCGCCAGGCTCCTTCATCTGTGGGATTTCCCAGGCAAGAGTACTGGAGTGGGTTGCCATTACATGGAGTCAATTCTAGGTCTAAATGCATTTCAGTTTAAGAGATCACAGTTTAAAAAAAATTCTCTATTGGTATAAAGATAGAAAGAAAGTGAAGTTGCTCAGTCATGTCCAACTTTGCAGCCCCATGAACTACCAGGCTCCTCCGTCAATGGAATTTTCCGGGCAAGAATACTGGAGTGGGTTGCCATTTCCTTCTCTAGGAGATCTTTCCAACCCAGGGATTGAACCCTGGTCTCCCGCGTTGTAGGCAGGCGCTTTACCATCTGAGCCACCAGGGAAGTCCAATTGGTATAGAGAAGTCTATTGGTATAGAGAAAGCTTTTTTCCTAGTTGAGCGATACAGGATAGATACTATCAATTTATTTACATGATATATTTATACGTTGCCTTGTTTCAGGGAGAATTTAAGACAGCTTATAAAAATACCTAAAAATAAATTGGCAAGGTAGAAGTTAAAATGGGAGCTGAAGAATAAAGAAAAACAAGACTGGAAGTATGAAGTGAAAGTAAGAATTTTTATCTTAATGAATTATGTGTGTGTGTTTACATGCACACACATCTATAATCTAAGTATCTACATTTCAAAAGGGGAAACCTAGTTAGTTCCTAACTTCTGTATGTGCTGCTGCTGCTAAGTCACTTCAGTCGTGTCCGACTCTGTGCGACCCCACAGATGGCAGCCCACCAGGCTCCCCGTCCCTGGGATTCTCCAGGCAAGAACACTGGAGTGGGTTGCCATTTCCTTCTCCATCTGTATGTGTTAGGTAAAAGTAATTATGTTAATTTCCATAAGATAAAAGAAAACCTTAACTATTTTTGATACTATGCCAGAATTTCTCTCAGAGAAAGATCTTCATTAAAAGAATATTGATGTAATAAGCAGATTCTTTGACATCCTTTTTTGTAAGAGATAGCCATCACAATTTTCATAGATTTTCAAATAGATTCATTCATCATATCAAAATCTTATTTCAGGAACTTCCCTGGTAGTCCAGTGGTTAAGACTCCATGATTCCACTGCAGAGAGCACAGGTTGGATTCCTGGTCAGGAAACTAAGATCCTACATGCCTTGCAGCCAATAAATAAATGAACAAACAAATACATTTAAAAAAAAAAAATCTGTTTCTGTAGAAGTAGCCCCACAGGGAACCAGTACTTTGTGGCTAATTTTATGTTGATCTGGTTGGATCCGGGGGTAGAATTTTATTTGGAAGAATGAATACACAATATGTTCTTCAAGCTATCTTTGCTGGTATTAATTCTCTCAAACAAGATTTTAATAAAGATACTTTGGCAGTGAGTTTGGTATTATACTCTAACAAACTACTACAAAATATCTATTTGATGATGATGTTTGAATTCAGCTCAGACCTACTGGTTGTAATAGACACCGTTGATCTGAGGGCAGAAATGACGTTCTCTTTTGAGAGATTGAGTCTTTCATCTTAGGCAACCACCTTATTAAATTTCTTGTACAGTGAAGCATATTTGTTGATAATTTTGTTACTGAATTTCTACATGCAGAAAATTGGAGATTCATACCGTGGCTACTGTGTAAGTGAAACTGAATTGGAAAGCATCCTAACATTTCACAAGCAGCAAACACAGAGTGTCTGGGGGACACGCCAGTCTCCGAGCCCAGCCAAGCCAGCTACGCGCTTGATGTGGAAATCCCAGTATGTCCCATATGATGGAATCCCATTTGTCAATGCAGGTACTTTTGTAAAGATTTATTTTTAAAAGTTCAGCAGCAGCCATGATCCATTGTGAAAATGTGATTTTCCTAAGGTGATACATTTTCATTTTGGTAGATGACAACTAATTGTTAATTGGTGAAAATGTGTATTAAACTGAAAAGAAAAAAAAAAACTGAAAAGAAAACTTACAGTAAATACAACCAATTATTTTATGTTGTAAAATTATATTTTAGTATGTTAGGGTAAATAAATAATACTTTATACTGAAAAATGAGAAGTAAAAAATAATTAAATTCAAGGTAGACCTATTTAATAAAAATTAAGCCATAGAGCAGTTTTATTATTTTAAATATGTGTAGCTAGTTTGATTTTTTTCCCCCCCATCCAATCCAGATATTCTTTCCTTCTGTCTTGATTTGTCTTGTGGGGGTAAAAATCACTGTTTGTTTTATATGGCTTATAACTCTGGGGATACTGTATGGGATTGGTATACAGTTTGGAATTATGATATAGAATTCTGATATTCTAACATCAGGTTTGTTACAGCAATCTCAAACACTGTGCTAGTGCTTACTAAAGCAGTAGAGTTCCAAGAGAGTCCCAAAGTGTCATCCTAGGACTAGTCAGACCACAAAGAACCTAAGAATAAGTGATTTGTTTCAGAACTATGTGGAGTGAGCAATTCTACAGGAAGAGTTGTAGACTCATCCTGGACCTCTGAGGGTAAAGAGAGCTCCTTAGAGAAAGATGAGATAAACGTAACCCCTTCTGCACAGGTTTTATTCTCCTGCCTGGTTCTGATCCCTTTTTTTTTTTGTTTTAATTAATTTAGTTTTTAATTGAAGGATAATTGCTTTATAGAATTTTGTTGTATTCTATGAAACATCAACATGAATCAGCCATAGGTGTACATATATTCCCTCCCTCTTGTCTAATCCCTTCTTAACTCTCCTCAGGCAGCTATTCTATGAATATGGTGTGTATTTTTGTACTTCATCATACATGTTTATATTTATAATATTTTTTATTATTTTGAGTATTTTAAAGTATATGTAAGTAGTAAAATATAGACATTATTAAGTAAACTTTTCACTAATTTTGGGAATCTGTCTATATTGATACAGATTCTGGTTAATTCTATTTTGTTATTATATAATTTAACATTATATAGTATGGACTATTACATATAATAAACTGTTGCTTAAATTTGGTCTTTCCAGCATGTGACCAAACTGCAGTTACTTTTCTACTAAGGATCATTTATGTTGTTTCCAACTTTTCAATATTACAAAGAATTCTATAGTCTAACCTCCAAAATATATATTTTCTGTTCAAAAGTGTAAGTAGTTTTCTAGACTGTTAGTTTGAAACAGTTTCTGTGGGTCAGAAATCCAAACTAGTTTTTTAGTGTTGTGTGCATTGAAGTAGAATTGCTGAGTTGTGAAGTATGCTCACTTTGTCTTTACAAGATTATCTCAAGTTGCTTTCTAAGAAATAGTTCAGGTCCCCATCCCTTCTCTAAACTTTTTTTTCCAGATATATTTCAGAATTCTGAATTTTGGGGGCTGTAAACATGATAATATTACAGAATGCTCCCAGCAAGTATTCTGTAGGCAATATTACATGCTCAAACCCAGTAAGACTTTATAGTTATAGTAAAAGGAATAAAGACTATAAATACCTCTGTGAAGTTCAGACCAGGTTTTACAGCCAATTGTATTCCAAACAATTTTGCTTTCTGTGCTTTTTAGATTTCAAAATCATACATGAAGGATTGACAACCTGTATTAATTTTTAGTTCTTTGAGCAATGTATGAAAATTTCCCTTTCCCACATTTGTTCTGTGATTTAGCATTGTCAGATTTAAAAACATCTTTATATTATGGGGATTTTCATATGGACATCAAAGTAGAGGTGATGATATATGAAATCTCATGACTCCACGTGTCCATCATCCAGCTTCGACAGGTATCAGCATGCAGTCAGTCTTGTGTCACCCTATCTACTTCTTCATTCTCGAGGTGATTTCACAGGAAATTTCAGATATTATTTCATCTATAATTACTAAGGTATATAATATATACTAAAGTATATATCTGAAATATAAGGGCTTTTAATATGTATAAATGAGACAGCAATTCTATCATTGCACTTTAAAAGAATTAACAGCAATTTCTTAATGTCATCAATTGTCCAATGTTCGCATGTTTCCACTTAGCTCATAATTCTTTTTTCAGAGGTTTGTTCAAATTCACACGCAAACCAAGTTCACAGATTAAATTTGCTTAAGTTTCTTCTCATCTAAAAATTTCTTTCTTTTCCACTGGGTAGTTTCTTCTGTAGAGTTTGCCATATTCAAGATTTTGCTGCTTCCATCTATGGTGTTTTTTTTTTAACATGTTCTTTTATCTCCTGTGTTTCCTATAAATTGTTCAGTTCAGTTCAGTCACTCAGTCGTGTCCAACTCTTTGCGACCCCATGAATTGCAGCACACCAGGCCTCCCTGTCCATCACAAACTCTTAGATCTAGGAGTTTGATTAAATGAAGATTTAATCTTCATTAAAATATTTTGGAAGAATACTTCATAGTTGTGCTATATACTTGTTATCACTACCTATATAGCATTTTTAACTTTCAGACTGATCAATAGATTCAGTTGTTTTAGAGTATTGTCATTTTTATTTTTGTCAATTTGAGGAGTGTGAGAGAGTATTTTACTGTTGTTTTAATTTGCATTTCCCTGCTTACTAGTGAATTTGAGCATCTTTTTATTTGTTTATCTAATATCCTTTTTTTTCCCTTTCTGAATTGCCTGTTCATAGTCTTTGCCCATTTTTCTGTTTGGTAGTTAGTTTTCATTTTTAAAAAATTATTTATAGTTCTCTATATTCTGCACATTAATTCTTTGTTTTATATATTATAAAAGAGTTTCTCAAACTGACTTTCCTTTTACCATTACTTAGAAGAAGTTAGTATCATTTTTATCAACATTTTTATTCATGATTGGTGTGTGTGGCTTTATATTTGCAAGGTTTGCTGTACCCTGCATAGATTAGGATATTCAACTTAGCATCTTAAATTGTATGGTTTTCACATCTAGTTATCTGTATTATATATTGCAATGTAACAAATCACCCCAAATGTGGTGGGGGAAAACAACAAACATTTACTGTCTCACAGTTTCTGTGGGTCAGAAATGCAAGAGCAGCTTAGCAAGGAGGTTCTGCTGCAAGTTCTCCAACAAGAATGCAATTAAGGTGTTGGCTGGAGCACAGTCATCTTAGGGCTTGCCTGGGGGTGGATCTGCTTCCAAGCTGACTCCTGTGGCGGTTGGCAGGCTTCTTTCTTGTTGGGTGGGCCTCTTCACAGAGCTGCCTCACCATATGACATCTGATTTCACCCAGAGAGAGCAGTTGACCAAGACAGTATCTTAAAATGAAAGTCATAGTCTTCTTATAACTTAGTATCAAAAATAAATCCTGTCACTTTTGCATCTGAGCCACCAGGGAGTCTACAAATGGACATTACCAGATGGTCAATACCGAAATAAGATTGATTATATTCTTTGCAGCCAAAGATGGAAAGCTTCATACAGTCAGCAAAAACAAGACCAGGAGCTGACTGTGGCCCAAATCATGAACTCCTTATTGCAAATTCAGACTTAAATTGAGGAAAGTAGGGAAAACCACTAGACCATTCAGGTATGACCTAAAACAAATCCTTTACAAATATACAGTAGGAGTGACATATAGATTCCAGGGATTAGATCTGATAGACAGAGTCCCTGAAGAACTATTGATGGAGGTTCGTGACATTATACAGGAGGCAGTGATCAAGACCATCCCCAAGAAAAAGAAATGCAAAAAGGCAAAAGGGTTGCCTGACAAGGCCTTACAGATAATGGAGAAAAGAAGAGAAGTAAAAGGCAAAGGACAAAGGAAAGATACACCTATTTGAATGTGAGTTCCACAGAATAGCCAGGAGAGATAAGAAAGCCTTCCTCAGTGATCAATGCAAAGAAATAGAGGAAAACAATAGAATGGGAGAGACTAGAGATCTCTTCAAGAAGATTAGAGATACCAAGGGAACATTTCATGCAAAGATAGGCACAATAAAGGACAGAAATGGTATGGACCTAACAGAAGCAGAAGATATTAAGAAGAAGTGGTAAGAATACACAGAAGAACTGTACAAAACAGATCATCACAACCAGATAATCACGATGGTGTGATCACCCACCTACAGCCAGACATCCTGGAATAAGAAGTCCAGTGAGCCTTGGGAAGCATCACTTTGAACAAAGTGAGTGGAGGTGATGGAATTTCAGTTGAGCTGTTTCAAAATCCTAAAAGATGATGCTGTGAAAATGCTGCACTTAACATGCCAGCAAATTTGGAAAACTCAGCAGGACTGGAAAAGGTCAGTTTTCATTCCAATCCCAAAGAAAGACAATGCCAAAGAATACTCAAACTACCGCACAATTGCACCCATCTCACACGCTAGCAAAATAATGCTCAAAATTCTCCAAGCCAGACTTCAATGGTATGTGAACTGTGAACTTCCAGATGTTCAAGCTGGATTTAGAAAAGGCAGAGGAACGAGAGATCAAATTGCCAACATCCGTTGGATCATCGAAAAAGTGAAAGACTTCCAGAAAAACTTCTACTTCTGCTTTATTGACTGTGCCAAAGCCTTTGACTGTGTGGATCACAATAAATTGTGGAAAATTATTGAAGAGATGGGAATACCAGACCACCTGACCTGCCTCCTGAGAAATCTGTCTGCAGGTCAAGAAGCGACAGACAGAATTGGACATGGAACAACAGACTGGTTCTAAATCAGGAAAGGAGTACATCAAGGCTGTATATTGTCACCCTGCTTATTAAACTTTAATGCAGAGTACATAATGAGAAATGCTGGACTGGATGAAGCACAAGCTGGAATCAAAACTGCTGGGAGAAATATCAATAACCTCAGATATGCAGATGACACCACCATTATGGCAGAAAGGGAAGAAGAGCTAAAGAGCCTCTTGATGAAAGTGAAAGAGGAGAGTGAAAAAATTGGCTTAAAACTCAACTTTCAGAAAACTAAGATCATGGCATCTGGTCCCATCACTTCATGGCAAATAGATGGGAAACAATGGAAACAGTGAGATACTTTATTTTTTTGGACTCCAAAATTACTGCAGATGGTGACTGCAGCCATGAAATTAAAAGATGCATGATCCTTGGAAGAAAATTTGTGACCAACCTAGACAGCATATCAAAAAGCAGAGACATTACTTGGCCAACAGAGGTCTATCTAGTCAAACATGGTTTTCCAGTAGTCATGTGTGGATGTAAGAGTTGGACTGTAAAGAAAGCTCAGCACTGAAGAATTGATACTTTTGAACTGTGGTGTTAGAGAAGACTTGAGAGCCCTTTGGACAGCAAAGAGGTCGAACCAGTCCATCCTAAAGGAAGTCAGTCCTGCATATTCATTGGAAGGACTGATGCTGAAGCTGAAACTCCAGTACTTTGGCCACCTGATTCAAAGAACTGACTCATTGGAAAAGACCCTGATGTTGGGAAAGATTGAAGGCGAGAGGAGAACGGGATGACAGAGGATGAGATGGTTGGATGGCATCACCGACTCAATGAACATGAGTTTGAATAAACTACAGGAGTTGGTGATGAACCAGGAGGCCTGGCATGCTGCAGTCATGGGGTCGCAAAGAATCAGACATGACTGAGTGACTAAACTGAACTGCACTGTACTGAGCACTGAAGTATTGATGCTTTTGAACTGTGGTGTTGGAGAGAACTCTTGAGAGTCCTTTGGAGTGCAATTAGATAAAACCAGTGCTTCCTAAAGGAAATCAGTCCTGAGTATTGATTGGAAGAACTGATGCTGAAGCTGAAACTCCAGTACTTTGGCCACCTGATGCAAAGAACTAATTCATTGGAAAAGACCCTGATGCTTGGAACGATTGAAAGCTGGAGGAGAAGGGGATGACAGGGGATAAGATGGTTGGATGGCATCACCGACTTGATGGACTTGAGTTTGAGCAAGCTCAGGGGTTGATGAAGGACAGGGAATCCTGGCATGCTGCAGTCCATGGTGTCACGAAGAGTTGGGCACGACTGATCGACGGAACTGACTGATGACTTCTGCCCTAGTCATTAGAAGTAAGTTAGTAAGTCTCAGTCATGCCCAAGGGGATGGAATTACCAAGGACTTGAGTACCAAGAGTACCAAGGATCATTGAGGGCCATCTTAGAGGTTGGTGATCACATGATTCTAACAGCTCAAATAGAAATAAGGAAATCAATTATAAAAGGAAATAAAAACATAAAAGACTTTCATATTTGTTCATATGTAGCATGTGCTAATTTCTACTTACAAAGTAGTAAATTTTATTATTAAAACTGTGTATGTAAATATCAGTTGACATTCAGTAGATGTGGTGTTTGCTGATTTCCTTACATAATTTGATACCAGTGGTAAATATTATAATAAACTTTTATATTTATGTGTTTGTATATCTCAGGAGACTGATATTTTCTTTCCTTAAGATTGTGTAATTGGAAGTATAGATTTTGTCACTGCCACTGCCAAGTTGTGTTTAATGTAGCACCCAGAGCAGATGGATGCTTGAATTAATGTCAGCAGTTGGTCTTGGCCCACAGGGAGCAGAGCTGTGGTAATGGAGTGTCAGTATGGGCCGAGGAGGAAAGGTTTCCAGTTAAAAAAAATTGGGGAGCTGGAAAATAGGTCTTGTCAGCTCTACAAAGCCACTTGTCCCGCCCGGTAAGCTTCATTTTCTTTTACTTTTTATTAAGTACATATGTTTGAATAGTTAATATGCACACGTGCATGTTTTTATTATGTTTAAGCTGTGCCGGAAACTATACAGTGAAAGCTGTCTCCTCTTACCCTGCATGTCCCACTTTAAGGCAACAGCTCTTACCAGTTTCTTGAGTAACTTTTCAAAGATACTCTGTATGTATGCCTATAGGTATATATCCCACTTTACCCTCATAAATGTTGAAGATCTCAATAATGATTACTGATATTTTCTTTCCTTAAGTTTGTGCAGTAGCATACCTTCTTTTCTTCTATGAATTCACATGGATATATTTCCATTCTGAATGCCTAATGTGATTATTTTCTCAAAGCTATTATGTTTCATACTAGTGTGTTTGTAGAGACATATACTACTATATACACCTAAACAATTGTTTTAAATTTAGGTATAGTTGATTTATAATGTGTTGGTTTCTGCTGTACAGTGGAGTGATTCAGTTATACATGTAATTACTCATTTTCATTTTCTTTTCGACTATAGTTTATCACAGGCTATTAATTATAGTTCCCTCACTATATCATAGGACCTTGGTGTTTTACACTATGGTTTTTTTATTCATTCCCATTATGTCTCAAGGCTGGCTCCATGTCTGTGTATAAATGAGCTGATTCCTTCTTTTTATTGATTGATCAATTGATGTTAAAAATTGAAATATAATTGCCATATAACATTATATTAGTTTCATGGTTCCTTTTTAATAGCCATATAATATTCCACTTGTAGATGAATTATCATTTACTTAATTAGCCCTCCGACAGTGAACTGTAGGCAGTTAATTAGTATTCTTAATTATTATTTATGAAGCTGCAGCTAATAACATTGGAACTATTTCTATACATATATCAATGGAATAAATTCCTTGAAATTATATTGTGAGGGCAAGTATTGTGTTCTTTTTAAATGTTGGCAGTTATTGGAGAGTTGGAGAGTTGCTTGGTAGTGATTTTACCAATTATATTCACCGCAGCAATATTTAAGACTAACATAGTCAGTTTTAGGTAGAATAGGACTACTGAGTAGTCCTTGCATTGACTGAGAATGAAAAATGTACACCAATGAAAGATTTTTATAATGTCTTTCAGTAATAATATTCTTTTTCACACATTTATAGTGTTTTAAGAAAACATAAGAAAAAATTTAAAAATAACACATAAATGTTAAATTTAGTTGAGCTTTGAAATGCTTATTTTAGCAATACATCTCATATCACAATCTCAGCATTCTCAAATAGTTTTTAAAGCCAGTTAAGCTTTAACCTGATAATGTTAACTTTAGCAACGTTAAAACCTGACCGTTAAACATGACCATTAAACAATCGCTTTGAAGCATAAGCAGCTTAGAGCTTTAGATTGAACTTGGGAGAAAGTCACTACATGTGAAGAAATAATTTTATTCTCAATCATTCTAAAAGTACTTTTTGAGTATCTTCTGTGTACCAAAGAGAAGGAAGAGACGGAGCCAAGCAGAAACAACACCCAGTTGTGGATGTGACTGGTGATGGAAGTGAAGTCTGATGCTGTAAAGAGCTGTATTGTAACCTGGAATGTTAAGTTCATCAGTTCAGTTCAGTCGCTCAGTCGTGTCTGATTCTTTGCCTTCCCATGGACTGCAGCACTCCAGGCCTTCCTGTCATCACAAACGCGCGGAGTTTGCTCAAACTCATGTCCATTCAGTCGGTGATGCCATCCAACCATCTCATTCTCTGTTGTCCCCTTCTCCTCCCACCTTCAGTCTTTCCCAGAATCAGGGTTTTTCAAATGAGTCAGTTCTTTGCATCAGGTGGCCAGAATATTGGAGTTTCAGCTTCAGCATCAGTCCTTCCAGTCTAATATTCAGAACTGACTTCCTTTAGGATGGACTAGTTGGATCTCCTTGCAGTCCAGGGGACCCTGAACAGTATTGTCGAACACCACCATTCAAAAGCATCAATTCTTTGGCGCTCAGCTTTCTTTATAGTCCAACTGTCACATCCATACATGACTACTGGAAAAACCATAGCTTTGACTAGATGGACCTTTGTTGGCAAGTAATGTCTCTGCTTTTTAATATGCTGTCTAGGTTGGTCATAACTTTCCTTCCAAGGATGAAATGTCTTTTAATTTCATGGCTGCAGTCACCATCTGCAGTGATTTTGGAGTCCAAAAAAATAAAAGTCTCTCACTGTTTCCACTGTTTCCCTGTCTTTTCTGCTGTGAAGTGCTAGGACCAGATACCATGATCTTGGTTTTCTAAATGTTGAGTTTTAAGCCAACTTTTTCGCTCTCCTCTTTCACTTTCATCAAGAGGCTCTTTAGTTCTTCTTCACTTTTGCCATAATGGTGGTGTCATCTGCATATCTGAGGTTATTGATATTTCTCCCAACAATCTTGATTCCAGCTTGTGCTTCATACAGGCCAGCATTTCTCATCAAGTAAGCTGCATATAATTTAAGTAAGCAGGGTGACAATATACAGCCTTGACGTACTCCTTTCCTGATTTAGAACCAGTCTGTTGTTCCATGTCCAATTCTGTCTGTCGCTTCTTGACCTGCAGACAGATTTCTCAGGGGGTAGGTCAGGTGGTCTGGAATTCCTATCTCTTCAAGAATTTTCCACAGTTTATTGTGATCCACACAGTCAAAGGTTTTGGCATAGTCCATAAAGCAGAAGTAGATGTGTGTCTTTAACTCTCACGTTTTCAATGATCCAGAAGATGTTGGCAATTTGATCTCTGGTTCCTCTGCCTTTTCTAAATCCAGCTTGAACATCTGGAATTTCACGGTTCATGTACTGTTGAAGCCTGGCTTATAGAATTTTGAGCATGAGATGAGTGCAATTATGTGGTAGTTTGAGTATTCTTTAGCATTGCCTTTCTTTGGGATTGGAATGAAAACTGATCATGAATCAAGGCAAATTGGAAGTGGTCAAACAGCAGATGGCAAGAATGAACATTGATACTTTAGGAATCAGTGAACTAAAATGGACTGGAATGGGTGAATTTAACTCAGATGACCAATATATCTACTATGGTGGGCAAGAATCCCTTAGAAAAAAATAGAGTAGCCATAATAATCAGCAAAAGAGTCCAAAATACAGTTCTTGGATGCAGTCTCAAAAACAACAGGATGATCTCTGTTCGTTTCCAAAGCAAGCCGTTCAGTATCACAGTAATCTAGGTTTATGCCCCGACCAATAATGCTGCAGAAGGTCAAGTTGAATGGTTCTATGAAGACTTACAAGACCTTCTAGAACTAACACCCAAAAATGATGTCCTTTTCAGTTTAGGGGCCTGGAATGCAAAAGTAGGAAGTGAAGAAACACATGGAGTAACAGGTATATTTGGCCTTGGAGTACAGAATGAAGCAGGGCAAAGGTTATTAGAGTTTTGCAAAGGAACATACTGATCATATCTAACACCCTGTCCCAGCAACACAAGAGAAGACTCTCCACATGATTATCACCAGATGGTCAACACCAAAATCCGATTGATTATATTCTTTGCAGCCAAAGATGGAGAAGCTCTATACAGTCAACAAAAACAAGACTGGGAGCTGACTGTGGATCATGAACTCCTTATTGCCACATTCAGACTTAAATTGAAGAAAATAGGGGAAACCACTAGACCTTTCAGGTATGACCTAAATCAAAGCCCTTCAGATTATACAGTGGAAGTGACAAATAGATTCCAGGGATTAGATCTGATAGACAGAGTCCCTGAAGAACTATGGATGGAGGAGATATTGTACAGGAGGCAGTGTAAAAAGAAATGCAAAAAGGCAAAATGGTTGTCTGACGAGGCCTTACAAATTGCTAAGAAAAGAAGAGAAGCGAAAGGCAAAGGACAAAAGGAAAGATATACCCATTTGAATGTAGAGTTCCACAGAATAGCAGGGAGAGATAAGAAAGCCTTCCTCAGTGATCAATGCAAAGAAATAGAGGAAAACAATAGAATGAGAAAGACTAGAGATCTCTTCAAGGAGATTAGAGATACCAAGGGAACATTTCATGTAAAGATGGGCACAATAAAGGACAGAAATGGCATGGACCTAACAGAAGCAGAAGATATTAAAAAGAGGTGGCAAGAATATACAGAAGAACTGTACAAAAAGATCTTCATGACCCAGATAATCACGGTGGTGTGATCACTCACCTAGAGCCAGACATCCTGGAATGTGAAGTCAAGTGGACCTTAGGAAGCTTCACAAAGCTAGTGGAGGTGATGGAATTCCTTTTGAGCCATTTTAAATCCTAAAAGATGATGCTGTGAAAATGCCAGCAAATTTGGAAAACTTAGCAGGACTGGAAAAGGTCAGTTTTCATTCCAGTCCCAAAGAAAGGCAATGCCAAAGAATACTCAGACTACCACACAGTTGCACCCATCTCACACGCTAGCAAAGTGAAAGTGAAGTCGCTCAGTCGTATCTGACTCTTTGCAACCCCATGGACTATAGCCTACCAGGCTCCTCAGTCCATGCAATTTTTCAGGCAAAAGTACTGGAGTGGGTTGCCATTTCTTTCTCCAGGGGATCTTCCCAACCCAGGGATTGAACCTGGGTCTCCCACACTACAGGCAGACGCTCTACCATCTGAGCCACCAGGAAAGCTAGCAAAGTAATGCTCAAAATTCTTCAAACCAAACTTCAATGGTACGTGAACTGTGAACTTCCAGATGTTCAAGCTGGATTTAGAAAAGGCAGAGGAACCAGAGATCAAATTGCCAACATCCGCTGGATCATTGAAAAAGTGAGAGACTTCCAGAAAAACATCTACTTCTGCTTTATTGACTGTGCCAAAACCTTTGACTGTGTGGATCACAATAAACTGTGGAAAATTCTTGAAGAGATGGGAATACCAGACCACCTGACCTGCCTCCTGAGAAATCTGTCTGCAAGTCAAGAAGCAACAGTTAAAACTAGACTTGGAACAACAGCCTCTTTCCAGATCGGGAAAGGAGTATGTCAAGGCTATATATTGTCACCCTGCTTATTTAACTTATATGCAGAGTACATCATGAGAAATGCCAGCCTGTATGAAGCACAAGCTGGAATCAAGATTGTTGGGAGAAATATAAGTAACCTCAGATATGCAGATGACACCACCCATATGGCAGAAAGGGAAGAGGAACTAAAGAGCCTCTTGATGAAAATGAAAGAGGAGAGTGAAAAAGTTGGCTTAAAACTCAGCTTTCAGAAAACTAAGATCATGGCATCTGGTCCCATCACCTCATGGCAAATAGATGGGGAAACAATGAGAGACTTTATTTTTGGGGGGTTCCAAAATTACTGCAGATGGTGGCTGCAACCATGAAATTAAAAGACACTTACTCCTTGGAAGAAAAGTTATGACCAACCTAGACAGCATATTAAAAAGCAGAGATACTACTTTGCCAACAACGGTTCGTGTAGTCAAAGCTATGGTTTTTCCAGTAGTTATGTATGGATGTGAGAGTTGGATTATAAACAAAGCTCAGCACTGAAGAATGATTTCTTTTGAACTGTGGTGTTGGAGAAGACTTGAGTCCCTTGGACAGCAAGGAGATCCAACCAGTCCATCCTAAAGGAAGTTAGTCCTGCATATTCATTGGAAGGACTGATGCTAAAGCTGAAACTCCAATACTTTGGCCACCTGAAGCAAGGAATTGATTCATTTGAAAAACCCTGATGCTGGGAAAGATTGAAGGTGGGAGGAGAAGGGGACAACAGAGGCTGAGATGGTTGGATGGCATCACCGACTCAATGGACATGAGTTTGAGTAAACTCTGGGAGTTGGTGATGGACAGGGAGGCCTGGCATGCTGTGGTCCATGGGGTCGCAAAGAGTCAGCTACGACTGAACTGAACTGAACTGAACTGACTCTGCCCAACAACAACCTTGTGTATCATGGGAAGGAGGGAGACTGGAACATAGATATCATAAACTTCACATGAAAAGCATAATATTTGAAGGCATTAAAAGATGGATAAATAAACTAGAATCATATAAAATGCTCTGAATGCTGCTAAATCATTTGTACTTGATTAAGGAGGAAATAGGTTCTTCAACAGTAGTACAAATGTGAAGAATTATTATGGTGTTGATATTATCAGGTGGATGCAAGAAATGACATAATGGCAGCTAGAAGCCTCAGAAGGAGGGTATTACAGTAATCCAGGCATGTTCAGGAGAATGGAGACGAGACGGACCCAGGGGAACAAAGTTTCGTAGTGTTTAGACATTTTTACTAAAGTAATGACTAATGTTAATTTGCTAAGTATTATATACTGAGAATATGGCACATCTTTCACATAGTGATGTGAATGCTTTCTAGATAATCGAATTTTCTCTAAACATTAGTAATGCTTAAACTTCTGTTTAACAAGTTAGATAATCTTGACATTATAATTTAATGGAGCAAATTCTTCTTTTTCTTACAAAAAGGATTTACATTAAGAAAGTACAGAAATTTCCTGACTATAGAGTTCCTACAGACCCCAAAATAGACAGGAAGATAATCCGAATGGAGCAGGAGAAAGCCTTTAACTTGCTGAAGAAGAACTTGGTGGATGCTGGTGGTGTTCTTAGGTATGACATTTCCATTGTTCTTGTATTCACAAGTTACTTTGCTCCTTTTACAAGAATTCTGTCTATAATAGAAATTATATGATGTTTTCCAATTATTCCATTAAGAAACGGTTTCTATAAGGTAGATGTTTTATTAGTAGCTTCCTAGGTATTAGACTGACTTGCCATGTGTAAGCCATTGAGTTTATCAGCCACATGTGGATAATTTTGACCAAAGAATTCTGTATACCATATGGAAGTTTTTTCCCAACATGATAAATTCATATTTAGAAACACTTTTTATTATATATTTATACTTTCTTGCAACCTAATTTACTATAGTCCACCAGGCTTCTCTGTCCATGGGATTTCCCAGGCAACAATAGTGGAGTGGGTTGCCATTTCCTTCTCTAGTGGCTCTTCTTGACCCAGGGATGAAACCCACATCTCCTGCTTTGGCAGTCGGATTCTTTACCACTGAAGTACTTGGGACACACTTAATATGATAATGTTATATATAGTTTTTCAAAAAAATTATTCCTTCTCTTGATGAGTATTAACATAAGTATGTGATTCTTGCGTTTTTCTAGTAATATAATTTTAAATATTTTCTCTCGTTAGGTGGTATGTACAGTTACCTACTCAGCAAGCTCATCAGTATCATGAATTAGAGACTCCCTGCCTCCCTTTATCATCTTCCTCCTTTCCTATATCTTCTCTTGAAGAAGAAGAAACTGCAATTAGAGATGAGAATTGTACATTGCCTTCACGTCTACATCCTCAAGTAGCACATAAAATTCAAGAATTAGTATCACAGGGAATAGAACAAGTGTATGCAGTTAGGAAACAGCTAAGGTACAGTAAAAACAAATTGTTCTTTTATGTTTTTCATTTTTTTTTGTTGGTTTAAATAATACACTTAACATTGTAGACATATTCCAGGAGATATGCTATCAGAATATATAGGGAATATAGTTTATTAATTTATTAAAATAATATTATTTATGAATTGATCACTTTTAGCAGATGTTTTGCAAGCCATGAGTAATGATTTGAATCACTCATTTGAGATATTCCATGTTCAGATTTGGCAAATTGGACTAATTTTAAATGATGTATATTTTGAATTATATACTAAATACCTTTATCAAAAGAAAATTTTTAGAAAAGATTTTAAAACATTGGCTAAGATATTTGTTTTAACCCATTTGATATATGCAGTTAAATTTTATTGAAACAAAAGAATATGAGCAGTTTTTTGTCTAATGAAATTTTGTATGTAGCACTCTGTGTGTGCATGCTAAGTCACTTCGGTTGTGTCTGACTCCTTGCGACCCTGAGGACTGCAGCCTGCCAGGCTCCTCTGTCCACGGCACTCTCCAGGCAAGAATACTGGAGGGGGTTGCCATGCCCTCCTCCAGGGGATCTTCCCATCTTCCCATGGGATCAAACCCAGGTCTCCTGTGGCTCCTGGGTTGCAGGTGGATTCTTTACTGCTTAGCCACTGGGGAGCCCATGTAGTCCTCTGGTCTAATTTTATTGGTACTCAGGGTATAATAACAATTATTATTATAAATATGAGGCACTTCGTATGTGTGTACCAAATATTATGCTAAGTACTTTATAGGCACAATCTCATTTATTCCTGTGGCTTTATAAATTCAGTATATTTATCCTCATTCTTCAGATGAGGAAATGGAGACTTGGGATAGTTAAAGAAATGGCTAGAAGTAAAGTCTACAACCTTGCTCTTCACCGTGATTTCTACTTCTTAAGTGACCTTATTCCTGCTGGTTATTTTGTAGTGGGATAGGAACAACAGAATGAGTATTTCCCAGGATTATTTCTTAATTTATACATGACTTCTGTTTAACAGATTTCTTAGACGTTTTATGTGTATTTACGTTGGGCCTTGTTAGAACAGAGCCAAAGTTTGGTAAGCCATCCACTATTTTACTAAACCTAAATCTTAAGAACAAAGGTATGATACAGCTCTGCAATATGGCCTACTGAACATAATGCACAAAGCATGTGTATATTGAATTTTATCATTTCTTTTTTTATATTTACTTTTTATACCATCTTGTGGCAACGTTGCCTTTTATTTCTATCTTCTCTTTGGTCTACTTGTAAAATTTGAGCATATCATATTTCATATATTATCTGAAGACTTTAGAAAGCAATGAAATATGATGTTTATATGTGTAACTTCGGTATAGGCCCAGTCTGTCTTAGTTACTAGCCTGGTGTATGGCTTTGGGCAAATTACTTAATTTCTGTAGCCCTTAGTTCCCTCTTCTGTAAGTTGGAATGTTGATTATACTTACCTCACAAGATTATAGGATGGGTTAAAGGACATACTAGATGTAAAGTGTCCAGTTCAGTGACTGACAGAGTAAGCATTCAAAAACATACTGTTTGAATTGAAAATAGTGATTTCATTAAATTCATAAAACTATCAAAGCTCATTCTAAGATATACAGATGTTTAACCAGTGAAAATATTACCTTTCTTTTAATCTGCATGAATTCTATGACTTAACGTGTGGGGAAAAAAGTAGAAAAATATAAATTACTTATAAAGCTGTAAATCATACTTTACAGAATTTTATGCTAAAAGAGAACCTTTCTCACTTGAACTAAACTATTAGATTGCTATATTGTTTATGTTTTTATTCTATTTTATATTTCCACAGAAAATTTGTGGAAAGGGAACTCTTCAAACCTGATGAAGTACCTGAAAGACATAATTTATCCTTTTTTCCAACTGTAAATGATATAAGAAATCACATTCATGAGGTACAGAAATCCTTGAGAAATGGAGATAATGTATATAACTCAGAGATTATTCCAGCAACGGTATGATTACAACTGTGATATCTTGTTTTATTGCAATAGTCTTTCTCAGCTAATGTGTGGTTGCTATTAGGCCATATAAATAACTGTGATGTAAGGAAAAGTAGTGTTTTTTCCCAAAATGTAAACACCGAACTCTCAGGTGATGATTTAACTAAAATGTTTTTTATTACTTCCATAAAAAGAAATTTAAGTGAATTTCTATCCATGACTGTAATAACAATAGTCATCTTCACTTAAAAATTGATATATTTTATCTCCATAAAAAGTATATCTTATTTATGTGACAGATATTTATTGAGTATATACTATGAATATCTCCACCTCTTTTTAAATATGTCAGCAAGTTTGAATAGAATAGTATATACTTGAATGTGATAATGTTGGTTCTGTATGCCCTCTGTGGATGTAAAGCTTACCTCATACTCTGATACTGTCATTTCCCCCAGAAAAGTGGCCATTTCTACCTACTCTGAAACAAGTAGAAACTACCCAGAAACCGCTGATAGTAATATACACAATGGTTACCCAGAAATTACCCAGAAACTACTAATTGTAATACACACAATGATTTTGGCATTAAAATCTCAAGTAACAATATCCTTTGCGATCTACATTTTTATTCTCTAGATTCAGTGACTGAATAGTTTGAGATTTTTTTTAAGCTTGAGCTTCTTTTCTATCCAAAACACTTAGTTATTCAGTATTCAAAATTCAGAAACTAAAACGGATTTGAGTACCATTCAGTCAATTCAGTCGCTCAGTTGTGTCCGACTGCGACTCCATGAATCGCAGCACGCCAGGCCTCCCTATCCATCACCAATTCCTGGAGTTTACTCAGACCCATGTCCATCGAGTCGGTGATGCCATCCAACCATCTCATTCTCTGTCGTCCCCTTCTCCTGCCCCTAATCCATCCCAGGATCAGGGTCTTTTCCAGTGAGTACCAGTCGTCTTTGTCAAATTCTTACTATATGAACTTGGGAAGATAATTTATTTGAGTAATTAAGTATACTTACGTTTTGAGAATGTGAACAAGTGAAGAAAGTAATTATAGAATAAAGCACATTTATTCTATGATTGGGTAAGATATGACAGTTGCATTGCCATTTTAAAATAGTTTTAGAGATAAATGGTTTGTTCTTTTTACTGAAGTAAGTGTTCCCATTTCAGCTTCAATGGACTACAGATAGTGGGAATATTCTCAAAGAGACTGTGACAGTTACACTTGCAGAAGGTAGGTTATCTTGAATAATTCAATTTCAAGATATAAAATCAAGCAGTATTAAAACTGGAAGATATTTAAGATATTATCTCATCTAATTTATGGATAAGGAAACCATGGCCTAAAGAGGCAAGAGCAACTACGTTAGGATTTATCAAAAAATACTTCTAAAAAAAAAAATACTTCTAGCTATTTAAATTTCCTATGTATATGTCAGATTTTATTCTTTATGATTGAAATTTTGAGGCTAATGATTATTAGCATGGTTTACTCTAAAGCTGGGCTAATTTCAGTAGTAGTAACTCTGAGACACCTTGATCAGGAAACTATTGTCCATTTTGTATGGCTTGATTTTTCTTGTATGTTTACTGCTGTGTTCTCTCAATATTCCAGGCTTATTTCAGCCCTTTTGTTCTCTCATCAAGAAATGTCTTTTCTCCTCTTCTGAGTGGCAAACTCCACTCACCACTCATCACTTGCAGTTTCTTTGGCTTTAGGTGCTTTCTTAACGTCATCCCCCTATGTAAATTTGGATACCTCTGCATGTAACATGCTATTCTTTGTTTATGGGTATATATCTTTCATTATGATTTTGGAATTGTTTTTTTTTGTAAATGCAAGTACAAAGTTTATTACCAGAGACATAGAACAAAAAATGGGACAGAGAAGTGGTTAGTTTAGTTAAGATAGAGGGGCATGGCAGAGATATACACCCAGAGAGAAAGGGTGTTAGCATCCCCCATAGTGAGGAGGAGCTGAGAATCATATTTTAATCAAATTAATATACCTAGTGCTTATCATAGTGGCTTCTAAAAGCTTAACGCCTAAATAAATGCTTTAAAATAAATTAATAATATATAGAATACAAATTTTTTTTATTCTTTGGCTATTGACCTTTAAGAGTTACTTTGCTTATAGAATAGCTTGCAGATTCTTTAGAATTATTCATTTGTTCTGTGTATATTTAATTCAGTGTGATAAATGCTGAGCATAGAAAAGTAAGTTTCTTGCTTCCTTGAATTTAAATTTTAGGAAGGGAAAAAGACTACAATATATTCTAATTAATTACTATAATGAATAGTAATAGTATTGCTATGAGAGAGAATTGACAGTATTACCATGATAGAATTGTGCCAAACTGTGTGCGAACAATGATATAGATATGTAACTTAGTCCAGAGAGTAGGGAAGGGACATTTGAGAAAGTGACTTTTATTTTTACTTTTTTAAATTAGAGGACAGTTGCTTTAAAACGGCTATTAGTTTCTGCTGTCCAGCAAAGTGTATCAACTGGATGTATGCGCATATCCTCTGTTTTTTGGATTTCCTTCCCCTTTAGGTCACCACAGAGCACTGAGTAAAGTTCCCTGTGCTATACAGTAGGTTATGGTTAGTTATCCATTTTATATATAGTAGTAGATAAAGTGAATTTTAAACTGAGAACTGAAGAATGAGTAGGAATTTACTAATCAAAGGAATAGCATGTTCGAAGGCTAAGCAAGAAAAAGGATGCCATGTCCAAGGAACTTAATGCTTAAGTGGTCTTAAATAGAGATAGTGGTTGGAGATAAAACTGAATAAGCATAATAAATTTAGGAGGCCCTTTCACCTATCCAAATGAAAGGTGATAGTGGTGTTGTTTGCAGTTGGTGACATTTATACAAGAATTAGGCACATTTAAGAGTTATCTTCAGTTCAGTTCAGTCGGTCAGTCTTGTCTGACTCTTTGCAACCTCATGGACTGCAGCATGCGAGGTCTCCCTGTCTATCACCAACTCCCGCAGTTTACTCAAACTCATGTCCACTGAGTCGGTGAAGCCATCCAACCATCTCATCCTCTGTCATCCCCTTCTCCATGCCTCCTCAGACCTTCAAGCATCAGGGTCTTTTCCAGTGAGTCAGCTCTTCCCATCAGGTGTGTCATCTGCATATCTGAGGTTATTGATATTTCTCCCGGCACTCTTGATTCCAGCTTGTGCTTCATCCAGTCCAGCATTTCTCATGAAGTACTCTGCATGTGAGTTAAATAGGCAGGGTGACAGTATATAGCCTTGACGAACTCCTTTCCCGATTTGGAAAGAGGCTGTTGTTCCAAGTCCAGTTCTAACTGTTGCTTCTTGATCTGCAGACAGATTTTTCAGGAGGCAGGTCAGGTGGTCTGGTATTCCCATCTCTTCAAGAATTTTCCACGGTTTATTGTGATCCACACAGTCAAAGTCTTTGGCATAGTCACTAAAGCAGAAGTAGATGTTTTTCTGGAACTCTCTCGCTTTTTCGATGATCCAACAGATGTTTGCTATTTGATCTCTGGTTCCTCTGCCTTTTCTAAATCCAGCTTGAACATCTGGAAGTTCACAGTTCACATACCATTGAAGTCTGGCTTGGAGAATTTTGAGCATTACTTTGCTAGCGAGTGAGACGGGTGCAACTGTGTGATAGTTTGTATTCTTTGGCATTGCCTTTCTTTGGGATTGGAATGAAAACTGACCTTTTCCAATCTTGCTGAGTTTTCCAAATTTGCTGGCATGTTGAGTGCAGCATTTTCACAGCATCATCTTTTAGGATTTGAAATGGCTCAACTGGAATTCTGTCACCTCCACTAGCTTTGTTCCTAGTAATGCTTCCTAAGGCACACTTGACTTCACATTCCAGGATGTCTGGCTCTAGGTGAGTGATCACACCACTGTGATTATCTGGGTCGTAAAGATCTTTTTTGTATAGTTCTTCTGTGTATTCTTGCCACCTCTTTTTAATGTCTTCTGCTTCTGTTAGGTCCATACCATTTCTGTCCTTTATTGTGCCCATCTTTGCATGAAAAGTTCCCTTGGTATCTCTAATCTTCTTGAAGAGATCTCTAGTTTTTCCCATTCTGTTGTTTTCCTCTATTTCTTTGCATTGATCACCGAGGAAAACTTTCTTGTCTCTCCTTGCTGTTCTGTGGAACTCTACATTCAAATGGGTATATCTTTCCTTTCATCCTTTGCCTTTTGCTTCCCTTCTTTTCTCCATTGTCTGTAAGGCCTCATCAGACAACCGTTTTGCCTTTTTGCATTTCTTTTTCTTAGGGATAGTCTTGATCACTGCCTCCTGTATAATGTCACGAACTTCCATCCATAGTTCTTCAGGGACTCTGTCTATCAGATCTAATCCCTGGAATCTATTTGTCACTTCCACTGTATAATCTTAAGGGATTTGATTTAGGTCCTACCTGAATGGTCTAGTGGTTTTCCCTACCTTCTTCAATATAAGTCTGAATTTGTCAATAAGGAATTCATGATCTGAGCCACAGTCAGCTCCCGGTCTTATTTTTGCTGACTGTGTAGAGCTTCTCCATCTTCAGGGCACTGAGAGCATGGAACCTTTTGAAGGTCGTTGCCATTATGTTCATTATCTCTACCATAGTTTGGCCTCAGGTCAAATAATAAGGAGGGAACACAGCCCCGCCCTTCAACAGAAAATTGTATTAAAGATTTACTGAGCATGGCCTCGCCCATCAGAACAAGACACAGTTTCCTCCTCAGTCAGTCTCTCCAGTCAGGAGGCTTCCATAAACCTCTTATCTTTTTCCATCAGAGGGCAGACAGACTGAAAACCACAATGGCAGAAAACTAACCAATCTGATTGCATGGACCACAGCCTTATCTAACTCAATGAAACTCTGAGCCATGGCATGTAGGGCCACCCAAGACCTTTGGGGTCATGGTGGAGAGTTCTGACAAAATGTGGTCCACTGGAAAAGGGAAGGGCAAACCACTTTAGTATTCTTGCCTTGAGAACCCCATGAACAGAATGAAAAGGCAAAAGATAGGACACTGAAAGATGAACTCCCCAGGTCGGTAGGTGCCCAACATGCTACTGGAGAAGAGTGGAGAAATGACTCCAGAAAGGCAGAAGAGACGGAGCCAAAGCAAAAACAGTGCCCAGTTGTGGATGTGACTGGTGATGGAAGTAAAGTCTGATGCTGTAAAGAGCAGTATTGCATAGGAACTTGGAATGTTAAGTCCTTGAATCAAGGCAAATTGAAAGTGGTCAAAAAGGAGATGGCAAGAGTGAACATCAGCATTTTAGGAATCAACGAACTAAAATGGACTGGAATGGATGAATTTAACTCAGATGACCCTTATATCTACTACTGTGAGCAAGAATCCCTTAGAAGAAATGGAATAGCCATCATAGTCAACAAAAGAGTCTGAAATGCAGTTTTTGGATGCAATCTCAAAAACAACAGAATGATCTCTGTTCATTTTCCAAGGCAAGCCTTTCAATATCACAGTAATCCAATTCTGTGCCCTGACCAATAATGCTGAAGAAGCTGAACGGTTCTATGAAGACCTACAAGAGCTTTTAGAACTAATACCCAAAAATGATGTCCTTTTCATTATAGGGGGCTGGAATGCAAAGGTAAGAAGTCAAGAAACACCTGGAGTAACAGGCAAATTTGAGCTTGGAGTACAGAATGAAGCAGGGCAAAGGCTAACAGAGTTTTGCCAGGAAAAGTGCTGATCATAGCAAACACCCTGCTCCAACAACACAAGAGAAGACTTTACACATGGACATCACCAGAGTTATCATAGAAACTGGTTATTGATTGAATAGGTGTGAGAGGTGAAGGAGTGGGAATGATCTGGGATGACTCTTGAGTTTCTTCCATGAACAGCTCATTGATAGTGGCATTTACCGAGCTCAGCAACACTGGCATAAGAGTAGAGTATTGGTCGCTGGGCAGAGGAGATCCTGAGATCGAGTCTGCAGAAGCGTGAGTACCAGAGTCATTTCAGTGAGGTGGACTGGGAGGAAGCCATATTGGAATGACTTAAGAGTGAACAGGAAATGATTGAAGAAGTGTAGATAGTGTGGACAACCTTTTCAAAAAGTTTGCTATGGTACGGGGTTGAAGGAAAGTATGTTAGGAAAGGAGAGACCTGAGGAGGGAGGTAAAGAGGAAGGTACTTGATAGCTATGGTGATGGAAAGTTTATAGCTTCTCTTTTCTCTTCAAGTGAGAGTGCATCCAGTCCCATCACTTCATGGCAAATGGATGGGGAAACAGTGAGAGACTTTATTTTTTTGGGCTCCAAAATCACTGCAGATGGTGACTGCAGGCATGAAATTAACAGACACTTGCTTCTTGGAAGAAAAGCTATGGCAAACCTAGACAGTGTATTAAAAAGCAGAGACATTACTTTGCTGACAAAGGTCTGTATAGTCAAAGCTCTGGTTTTCCAGTAGTAATGTACAGATGTGAATTCAACCATAAAGAAGGCTAAGCACCAAAGAATTGATGCTTTTGAATTGTGGTTCAAAAAAGTTGGAGAAGACTCTTGAGATTCCCTTGGACAGCAAGGAGATCAGTCAATCCTAAAGGAAATCAATCCTGAATATTCATTGGAAGGACTGATTCTGAAGCTGAAGCTCCAGTACTTTGGCTATCTGATGTGAAGAGCTGACTCATTAGAGAAGACCCTGATTCTGGGAAGGATTGAAGGCAGGAAGAGAAGGTGACAACAGAGGATGAGATGGTTGGATGGCATCACCAACTCAATGGACATGAGTTTGAGCGAGCTCTGTGAGTTGGTGATGGACAGGGAAGCCTGGCGTGCTGCAGTCCATGGGGTCGCAAAGAGTGGGACATGACTGAGCAGCTGAACAATAAAAAGGAGGAGAAAGGATCTCAGAAAGTGGCCAAGATTTGAGGAAAATGGAGATTAAATATTATCCCTAATACAGAATGAGTGAAACATTGTAAGATTGTCCTATACATGAAGGTCCTACTGTGGTTGATGGTCATGAATTGGTATCATTAGTGGCAGAGAATTTCTTCTTCAGTGGCAGTCAGCATTACATGTATATAGGCCCTGGAAGATACTTTCATCCAGAATTAGGATTTTATCGAGTGTGATGACCAAGGGACAGAGAGGAAAGGGAATTTAAGGCATTTCCAAGAGAGTAACTAAAATTATATACCCAGTCCTCTTAAGCTGGATGGGAGAGAATTTTATTAAGAAGACATTGATGGATCCGAAGAAAACTGAGGAATCAGTTAACTGAAGGTTCACATGAAGTTGAAGCGCAGGGGTAGTGGAGTACCTGAGAAAAGCCACAGGCTTCCCTTGTGGCTCAACTGGTAAAGAATCCGCCTGCACTGCGGGAGACCTGCATTGGATCCCTGAGTTGGGAAGATCCCCTGGAGAAGGGAAAGGCTACCCACTCCAGTATTCTGGCTTGGAGAATTCCATGGACTGTATAGTTCATGGGGTCGCAAAGAGTCAGACACAACTGAGCATCTTTCACTTCACCTGAGAAAAATCCCTGGAAGAATAGATGTTGTGGTCAGAGAATGGGATGTTTGAATTAGAGATTTTACATGTGGAATGATTATTTATTCCACATTTTACATGTGAAATGATTTATTTATCCCTAGATTTAGGGCATGCTCATAGTGGTGGGAGACTGCAGCGAATTGAGGTGGGACAGTTAGAAATGAAGAAGCCTAGAAATGCGAGAGTACTGTTAATTCTCTCGGTAGTCCTTTGAGAAAAATTCTCTTATCCTGAATTTACAGATGAGGATACTGAAGTTTAGAAACTGAAGTTTAGAAACATGTTGCCAAAGAAAAACCAGTACTTAAATCCATCCTTGTCTGACAGTAGGGCCATTTTAAAAAATTACTCAGTTACGTGGGTGCACTATGCAGTATAGAAGCAATAAACAGTTTTTTGTCTGGTAGGTTTTTTTTGGCTGAACTATGCAGCATGCAGGATCTTAGTTCCCTGACTAGGGATCGAACCTGTGCCCCCTGCATTGGAAGCATAGCACCTTAACCACTGGACCACCAGGGAAGTCCCATTAAATAATTATTGATAATTTGTTTTTGATTGACCTAAAAAGATGAATATATTTGGGTTAACATATAAGAATTACATAAGGAGGACTCAAATTCCCTAAGGACAATTACCTTAAAAATTGAGATATTTAGGGGCTTCCCTGGTGGTCCAATGGCTAAGGCTCCAAGCTCCCAATACAGGGGGCCTGGGTTTGACCCCTGGTCACGGAACTAGACCCTATATGCCATAACTGAAGATCCTGCATGCCTCACCTAAGACTTGACACAGCCAAATAAATAAGTAAATATTTTTAAAAAATTGAGATATTTAGAAAAGAAAGAAAGTTTTACTCCTATTCATTTATTCCTAAATGAGTTATTGAAAGCAATTTAATACTATTATTATTGAAGACCTGCTTTATGCTAGGCATTGTCCTAGGCACTAGGGCTACCAAAGATGAATTAAGTTTCGTCTTTGTAACTGAGAAACTCAGTAGGTGCTCCATATCTGGAGAAGTGTAAGCCCAGTATTACAGCATGAAAAATGGATTAGGTTAGAACTACAGGTATAAAGTCTTTCAAGGAAAAAAAAAATAGTTTCTTTCAATCCCTCCTAGCTATGCTGAATTAAAATTACTGGAGGTTGAATCTAGGAATTTATATTTTTTTAAAGTGTTCTTAGTGATTCTGATGAACTACCTGGTTTTAGAAATAGTAGACTAGATAACTAGATAACTTCTTAAAGTTCTTTGACTTTATTTCCTATTCCATTTCTGACAGTAAAGGTTCTAATAAAGTGTAGCCATAAAAATTATTTTAATTATTTTTTATATAATTTAGGTAATTCACAAGGAGAATCAGTTTCCAGCAAAGGGGAAACAAGTCAGACAAGGAATTCTTTGTCTCCTGAACCAGCCCACTTGCTCTCCTCCCTTTCTTCATTTCAGCCAAAAATATTCACACACCTGCAGGTAAGTATCCAGTGTGATACCAAATTTGAGGCCCTTATTCTTTCTTCCTCAATCTCTCTTCTCTTCTTTGGGATTTTACAGAAATGTTAGGGAATTATGAACATGATCAATGATGTTTTTATCATTAATTTTCTGACTTTTTTGTGACTTGATTTAAAATATTTAAACAATATGTTTTGGAAAAGTTTGAATTGATTATGCATGCAAGAAAATGTAGTAGTGCAGTTTTCCTTTGGTTCTTGTTTCTGTCCTCACTTAATATTTGTTAGTAACTATACTCTTAGCTTTTATTCTAAATTTGGGTCAAAAAAATAATACATTCAAAGCAGAAAACATACACAGTAAATCCAAACATTTGATATAACTCTTTTTGGTTCAAAAGGGTTTGCAGTTACAACCAAGATTCACTTCTGATGGATCACCAGCTCTAATATCAGTAAATAACCACCCCTCCTCCAGTCCTTCAAGACTTCTGGATTCAGTAGGAAGTGCTGTAATGAATAATAATTCTCTACTGCTTGGTCAGACTCATTGCCTTCAAACAGATACACCTCTAACCCCAAGCAGTAGTATTTCTTCTACCATGAGTAACCTTCCAGGACCAGATCAAAATCTGGTTGCAGTGGATCAGCTGGTAGAAGTTGAAGATGTTGAAGATACAGAGACTCTGGAAGGAAATGTTCATCGGATTCTATTGGGAAATGTGCAGACCATACCAATACAGATTATAGACAGCCCGCCAGTTCTTAGTAAGTTAAAATCACCTTATGTTTTTTTTTTAACCTTTATGGACTATCATCAGTATTACACTACAGAAAAAAAACTATTGTTTTTTACTCAGTGGTTATATAATATATAAATAAATAAAGTAAAACCAGAAGAGAAAGAAGTTTTGTGAGCACGAGTTTAATAACTTCTAAACTTAATTTTTTTTCTTTATCAAGATTACTCATTCCCTAACCTACCTAGTTTTACATGGAAAATCTGTGGTGATGTGAAATCAGGAAGGTCATTTTTGTATACATGATCAAGAATTAGATAAACTAAAAACTATTTAGTGTAAAGGTTATCATAGAAAAATTGCAACACACAAAAATGGGGTGAAATTTGCAGATGTAAAGGTTAAAAAGGATTTTGAGTTGTAAACTTACATGTTGAGTTCTATGGAAATTGAAAGGGAATTAGGAAGACTTGAGGACGGGTTTAATCAAGACTTTGTTACCTTCACTTTGGAATGAACCCAGTCAACATAGTGATAAACTCTGAATTCCTACCTGATGTATGCCACAAATTGTTCTGGATTGCGTATTTTTGTGGAAAGAGATTTGCAGTTTGCTTTGAAGAAAAAAAAGTCTTCTTAGAAATTATCCTTAGAACATATATTTTCCCTCCATGTATAAGATAGTTTCTTCCAGAAAAGAATCATTGTCTTTTAAATTTATTACTTTTAAGAAAATTTATCCAGGGGGCTGTGGCAGTTGTCTCTAGGAAATATAGTGGAAGAGAGGGGCAAGGAATATACATGAAGTGATCCTCACAAATGATCCATGAACTAGCCAGCGATGTTCCCATTCTGCAGATGGGGAGGCCAAGATCTGGGAGGTTTACATAATTGACTTAAAATCACATGTAGTAAGTGACAGAGAGGACATTTTAAGCCAGATCTGTCTGCCTCCAAAGCATCTTCCCATTCCAAGATGCTGCCTCCCTCTGTTGTGCTAGGGTATTTCTGGGAGCTGTAGTTTAAATTGCCTTAAAAGAGACCCTCTTTGGATCTGAACTTGCATGATGTATCAAGTTAGATCATGATCTGAGAGACTATGTCACCTAAATATGAATTCTCAGGATTACTCAAATCTATCCTGCATTGGTTTTCTTGATATGGCATAAGCTAAACTCTAACCCATATGTGACAATCATTAGGTTTGTTCAGTGAACTTCTGACCAAGTAGAATCCCCTTAACTTTGGTTCCCTGTAGCAACTGAAAAGCCGATATTTTCCGGAGAATTGGTAGAGAAAAAAAACTGATAGATTTCTGAGAAAGAGGAAGATTTTATCATAGGTATCCTAGGTGCCAGATGTCAGTAGTGTTGCTAGTTTGCTGCATTACATTAATTTGCTCATAAGTACTTTGAAATCAGAATGGTTGTACATTCTGAAATATTTCAAATAAGCAACACATAGCTGTGCAGTTAAATCAGAGCTATCATTTAAGATATGGCATTTTTTTTCTGAAGTACTTATGTAGTACAGTTTCTTTATGGAGAGAACATTTTTTAAAAATATATGAACATGTATGAAAACCATATGAATGGTAACACATCAGTGATTTGTAGTATATGCTTGATGTTTGTAAAAAAGAAAACAACAAAAAACATTTTCAAATAATGAGAGGCTTCCTGACTTTTGAGCACAGAAGTATTTAAAGACAGTTAAGTTAAACTATAAGATATTCCTCATAATTTCATCAAATTATGGACTGCTTTTTGGTCAGAATATCTTTTGAAGAGAATAATGTTGCAGTTTTCTTGGTTTCTTTTTTTTTTTTCATCCTGAAGGAATTTAGTGTGAATGACCATTAAGATGTCAGAAGCACTGAGTTCTCAAATACATTAATTGATTTTCTAAATTACTTGATTCTCTTAGCAAAATACTGTTTTTGTGCTTTGCTTCTAAATTCATATAATTCTTAAGATTCCAGTATTATAAATTATATTAACCATTAGGGTTTTTCTTTTATGTTTGGTTTTAAAGTTGAAGAAAATTCAGAAGGTACCATTTCTGTGAACCAAGTTAAGCAAGAACCCAAAGAACCAGCATTGTCTCTGGAAGCAAAACCAAATTTGGACTGTAAGAAATTATCTGCTACATAAATTATTGAAGCTTTTCAGAATTTACAACTCTGGTGACTTCTGATGTCATAGAAAAAGAAGGTGAATGTTATCAAAGCACAACGTTGTGATAAGTGGACTGAAGACTGGGTCATTGAGCGAGCAGCTTTAATTCAAAACTGACATTTGTTGCTAACTCCCTATTTTTACCTTAAGAGATATTTTACTCTTATTTTATATAATTCGTATACTTTTTGATTATCATATAAGGCCAGTATTTCAGAAGATCATCTGAACTTATCCACAGTGATATAATCTGAACACAAATAGTTATCTAATTCATCCTTTGAAAATATCTAATTTTGGTTCTTAAAAAAGAACATCAAAAACAGTATGTGAGTATATATGTGTGTGTGTGATGATTTTTTTAAGTTTTAAAAGAACCTTAAAGTTACGAAGAAAAATTTTAAATTAACAACAAGAGAATATCTGAAGTCTGTCTCATTTGGAAAGAAAAACCAACAGATTTTGCGTCATAATATTAAGCCCAACATTCACATCTGTGAAAACTATGTAGTTGCATTTTAACTTCTGCAATAACTAGAAACAAGTAGTATACCAATGGTCATCTCATAGAAATTTACTGTGTCATGGTTAAGTACTGAGAATTTTAACTTGAGTCAAATAAGCAAGAGAAATAAATGCCTTTTGAATGGATTTATATGGTGTTATAGTTAAAAATACTACTTATTGGGTTTGAAAAATGTAGAAATGGAGAGAATTCAGAAAGAATAATAGAATTCCCTGGTGTTTATAGATAATTGGGAATTTTTTGATATCAGCAGAAGATGTTTTTTCCTATTTTGTATTAAAGAATCAGCTCTGGTTAGAGAAGAATTTGAGTTGTACTTATTTTTCTGTGGCAGAGTTCTTAATAAATTGATGGTATTTGAAAGATAGTAATCTTTCAAGGTAAAGATTTATAGTTTAAAATTTAGCTCATATTTAAAACTTTAAAACAACTAGTGTGTTATATTTGCTTGTTGAATAAGCATATTTACTTCAAATACTAAATACATACTAATCAGTATATTCATTATAAGCTTCTCTTTTCTGGAAGGTTGGTAAATTAGAAATGTCAATTACAGCTATCAAGAAATCAACCTAAAGCCTTCTCCCACCGCCCCCCACCCCGAGACCTTTTGTGGGTATATTTAAATTTTCATTTAAAAAATAATAATTTCCAATGCATATTAGTGTTTAATATTCAAGGCATGCAGCATATGAAATTTAACTTTAGTACTTTATATGACTATGACTCTTTTTGGCTTTTCTAAGTCCAGTCTCACATTCTTAATTCACTTTAATTGTTACAGGTACACAACATGTATCTAAGTATAAAGCACTGTTATGTTAGAAGTAGATGGAATTCTAAAATTCCTTGCTCTTTATATTTAAGCCCTATTTAACATAAAATTTATTATTTATACCTCTATTTAATGCAAACTTAATATTCAGTTACATACATGATTTTTTTCATGATTTTTTAAAATAAGAATTGCTTTTCCTTTTCCTAAGAATCGAAAATACTTGATGTCAGCATTTATAGAGGCAGGCTGCCAAATCTATGTTGTGTGTGCATGTGTGTGAAGTCAATGCTAAGCTGAACACAACTCTTAGTTACCTCAAACCCAGATTTTTCTTTGTGTGTACTTAATGGGCATAAGTCCAAATTAATTTATAGTTTAATATTGCATTGTGGGTAATATTCTTTTCATTTGTTATTTCTAGTTTTTATGGAAACTTTTTTCAGTATTTCAAATCATAGATCTTTACTTTTCACTAATGACAATAGATAATTAGAGTTTCTTGAGCTATATTCCTTTGGAGACATTCCTTGCTTTTTGATGTTGAGTTGTTAAGGAGAGATGCTTATTAAGATACAGACTCTAGTCAGTTACCTAGGAGGATGAGAGATGGTAGAGGATCCAGACTTTGGCTCCTGAAAAAGAACAAAACACAGTTTTAAAACACTTCTCACTTCATTCTATGTGACTGTCTCTTCTGACATTTTTTTCATGAGAACAAAAATTTGCAGTACATCCTCCCCACAGACAAAAAGAGAAAGAAAAAAAAGAGCATGAAGGTTTAAATCCCTAATTGTATACTCTTTTGGTTTTTAGGTAGGAACTGGAACTATCAATATTTTCGTGTAAGTATTTTAATGAGTAGCTCTGTAAAAATGCTTTCTAAATTAGTTTTTAGAAATTCATTTGTCCTCTAAATGCATGTTCAGTTACAGTATATCAGTATTTTATTTTAAAGGTGCTTAGCATTGCTTTTTACAAAGTATGTTTACATATTTTCAATATTCAGCTAATTTTTAAATGCACAGGGTATTAAACATAGCGCATAGAGTTTTTAGTATCTGTATTTGGCATTCTCCTAACAACTCTACAGCAAAGTTTGATATATGTTCTTTTGTGTCATGTATTACAAGGTGTAATATCTGTAGTAGAAAGTTTGGTGTTCAAAACAAGCAGTCAGAATTCATTATTACAGCTGAGCTTGTTTCTTCATTGTGGTTGTCATGTTCCAAGCCTCCAAGGGAACATTATATATGCTACAGTGACTTATAGATAAACACAGCCATGGTGGGTCTGTCCCTCAATTTTCTATATAAGTGGTTAACATACTTAAAAAGCTTTTATGTCTTATACAAGGTAAATGTTTCCTAAAAGTCACAAAAGTAATAGAAAATAGACTTGATGATATGGTCCTGCATTAGAGTTTCTAATCTTGAGGCCTAGCCGTATGTGTTCCATCTTTATATCCTGTCAAAATACATACTTAATCATGTGAATATGAGAAAGAAGCAGTTTAATTTTATACCAGGTTTTTTAAAAAGTTTAAAATGTGTGTATATATATATGTGTGTGTGTGTGTGTGTATATATATATAGTAACTTAATGTTTAGTGTCCTTGTTATAATGTAATTTTTTTCATTAAAAAATCTTGTGTTGTTTTTTTATCTTATGTTTGTTAATTTTCTTTTTATACATTTCCTGGGCATCGTGGTAATTTTGTTCATCTTGAAGATGCTAAATAAACACATTAATACCTGAAAATATTGGCTAGAGATTTATGTTCAATTTGGAACCTGAACATTGGTGAAGCATAACTACCAGTAATTCCTGTTATCATTATGTTAGGGAATATATATGTATTTAATGCTCTCAACTTAGCCAACTCTCAGCCTTTTAAAACAATGCATGTAATAAGGTATAAATAGCTCTTCCTCCCATCCTCTCCATATTTTTTGGCATTATAACATCTTCAAGTACAGTTTTATATTTTTGGAGTAATAACAAGAATATATGATTTAAAAGGGAGGGATCATTAATTTTTTTTTCCCTCTTGGCTTTTTTTCTTTTTCTTTTCCTTTTTTTCTTTTCCTTCTTTCTTTTTTCCCCTTTATTCCACTCTGCCTGCTTTTCGGGGTCATAGAGTATCTCATTCTCTCCAAAGAGGGGCTGCATTGACTCTTCCCCATCAACTGATTAGGCTTTAGACATCTTAAATAATGCACTATTTTTATCTAAATATCTGTAATTCCACTCAATTAATTTAGTGGTGATGACAAAGCCTAGTATACTTTTACCACATACAAATTAGCTATATTCTGTAATATAAATGTTCACTGCTGACTGAATTTTTAAAACTTAAGGAATAAAATAAGAACTTTAAAAAAATCACATTTCTTAATGGAAAATTGATTTCTGAGAGAAATAAACTATGAATTAGTATGGAAAATGTTTGAGAATGCGATATGGGTATAAGCGCAGGGGAGATGTTGCTTAATAGTGCAAATTTGTAACTAGTAGTTATATAAGTCCTGGAGATCTAATCTGATGTACTTACTGCATGTTGACTATAGTCAGCAATACTGTGTTATATATATCAGAGTTGCTCAGAGTAGATCTTAATTATTCTTACTACAAAAAAGAAATAATAATTAGTAGACATAGTAGAGGTGTTAGCTAAAACTATAGTGGTAATCATAATTGCAATATATAAATTATCAGATTAACACATTATATACCTTAAATGTTATATGTCAGTTATATCTCAATTAAAAAAAGAATTTTAAAACCAAAGGACAGAGTGGGAGTCAGATACCGGCAAGAGTTTATATTTTTTAACTATCTCTGTTGAAGTGGGTAATTGACAGATAATAAACTGCACACATTTAAAGTGTACAGTTAGGTAAGTTTTGATATATATATACATCTTTGAAACCATCACCACAGTCAAGATAAGGAACATATCTGTCACCCCAAAAAGATTTTTAGTGCCCCTTGGTAATCCATTCCCACTTCTTCCTGCCTCTACTCCTACCTGCCCCACCCCATCCCAAACAGTTACTATACTGCTTTCTGTCACGAGAGATCAATTTATTACATCTACTAGTTTATAAAAATGAAATCATATAGTATGAGCCTTTTTAAAACCTGACTTTTGTCACTCAGAATGGTTATTCTAAGGTTCATCTGTGTCACAAGATGTATGAATAGTTCATTCCTTTTTAATGCTGAGTAGTATTCCATTGTGTAAATTAGCCATAAATTGTTTATCCATCCAGCTGTTGATGGACATTTAGATTGTTTACAGTTCTTGGCTATTACAAATAAAGCTGCTGTGAACATTTGTGTAAGTCTTTGTATGGACTTATGCTTTCATTTCTTTGGGTTAAATATCTAGGAGTGGAATGGCTGCGTCATATGGTAGGTATAAATTTAACTTTTTAAGAAACTCTCAAGTGATTTTCCAAAGTGATTGTATTATTTTACATTCCAATTTGCAGTGTATGAGAGTTCCAGGTGCTGTATATTGTAGGCAACACTTGGTATGAACAGGCTTTTACGTTTTAGGTATTGTTAATAGGTGTGTAGTAGTAACTCATTATTATTTTAATTTTCATTTCTCTAGTGACTAATACTGTTCAGCATCTTTTCATGTTGCATTTGCCATCTGTATTCTTT